TTTTGATAGCTTGGACCCGATTCTAAAGGAGCTGTATGAGGATTTGAGGTCTATGGTTATAAATGTATCAGTGCTTGGAGATTTCCAGCCACCATTGAGGGCACTTAAGTATCTTGTTAGCTTACCAGTAGGAGCTAAATCTCTGGTTAGTCACCAGTGGTGGGTTCCACGGGGCACCTATATGAACGGCCGAGCAATGGAGTTGACTAGCATTCTTGGCCCTTTCTTCCATATTAGCTCGCTGCCAGATAATAAGCTATTCAAGAGTCATCCTGATGTTGGGTGAGTTGGAACTTATTTCTAGGTTTCTATTGCTGAGAATCATGTAGTCTTTGGGGTTCTTTAGTTATTGAGACAGTTTGGATAGTAAGAATTATTGTATAGCTTTGCTCATAGTAGAGAGACTTGATCAAAAAAGGAAGGAAGCAGATATATTTGACTTATATGATTGCAATGTTAGGTTGTATACATATTTTAAGCATGATTATATAAATCCAGCATAGTTAGATGATCAGTGGAGGCAAAACCAACAGAAATATTAGTAAGCTCTATGTTAAGTTAGAATAATGGGGATGAAATCTATTATTTTGAGCATTTTTTCTGGTCTGTACTGAAGAATCTTGATTGTTCATTGACATTTGACAAGGATTAATTGTGCGAACATAAGGGTTCTCCTGATCCACCTCAGAGGATATTCTCTACCTGTTATGGAAATGCTAATATATGTCTATTATTTTTGTGAATACCAGGCAGCAGTGTTTCTCTGAAGCATCGGAACGTCGTCCCGCAGATTTATTATCATCCTTCTCCACGATTAAAAATTTAATAAACATTTTGTACAGCGGGCTGCATGATGTACTGATGATTTTACTTAAAAGTACCGATACCCGTGAGTGTGTTTTACAGTTTCTTGCAGAGGTGATCAATGCAAATGCGTCGAGAGGCCATATACAGGTAATCATCCGTTTATAAGATAAATATATGCTTTGAATCTTGATTCATGAATTGTTATTGTCTCCTCTCGGTTTCATCAAGTTGGTATGTATCTTTTTTGCTCAAACCAGCGTTCTGTAATCTGTATATCTTGTATGACAGGTTGATCCAGTCTCTTGTGCTAGCTCAGGCATGTTTGTTAACCTCAGTGCAGTAATGCTCCGGCTCTGTGAACCATTTTTAGACCCACATTTAACTAAAAGGGATAAGATTGATCCAAAATATGCTTTCTGTGGTCATCGCTTAAAATTAAGGTATGGTCCCCAAGATTTCTACTTGTATTTCCTCACTGGATTTTCATTATTTCATGATGAGCAATATTATTTATGATCCACACCAGCGACTTGACTGCTCTCCATGCATCATCCGAAGAAGTTTCTGAGTGGATTGGCAAAGATGCTATGGCAAACGTAAATGGTGCTGGGCGAGAAAACGGGAACGAAAGTCGCTTGTTACAATCCAAAGAAGCCACAAGTTCTAGTAGTAATGCTTCTGGGCAAAATGCAAAGTCAGCAACTAAATACACTTTCATTTGTGAATGCTTCTTTATGACTGCGAGGGTCCTCAATTTGGGTCTCCTAAAAGCACTCTCTGACTTTAAACATCTTGCTCAGGTAATCATCGTCACAGTTTTACCGGCCTGGATATATTGAAGATTTTTGAAAAAAACGACTTGTGATAAATCTTGCAGAAAGCTCTTATTTAATTTTGGTTCCTGACATATTGTCTTGTCAAGGCGTTTGTCGGTTAAAACGAGAAGGGACTATAGAAAAAAACTTGAACTTAGTCGCACGTTTTGAGTGTGAAAGAGTCCTTGATGCCTGAATTTGCAGAAGATTGTTACTGTATAGTTATTTACTTTCTTTTCCGCATGATGTAGGACATCTCGAGAGGTGAAGATAATCTTGCAACACTAAAAGCCATGAGAGATCAAGCACCTTCTCCACAGTTGGAACTTGATATATCCCGAATGGAAAAAGAACTAGAGCTGTATTCGCAGGAAAAGCTTTGCCATGAGGCCCAAATATTGAGGGTTTGTAATCATATTCTCTGCTCTGAAAACATCTTTGGCTTTTCCTCTGGACCGATAACATGATAGTAATAGCTGCCTTATCTCTATACTGTATTGAAGGATGGAGATTTTATTCAGCGAGCTCTTTCTTTCTATCGCCTAGTGGTTGTTTGGTTAGTGGGACTAGTTGGTGGCTTTAAGATGCCTCTACCGTCAACTTGCCCCATGGAATTCTCCTGTATGCCTGAGCATTTTGTTGAAGATGCAATGGAGTTGCTGATATTCGCTTCAAGAATCCCCAAAGCTTTGGACGGGGTGCCGCTGGTATGCTTAGTTTGATCTCATCTGTCTGTAGAAATTCTCCTTTTGTACTTGCATTGATGATGTTTGTTTCTCTTTCTTAAGGACGACTTTATGAACTTCATAATTATGTTCATGGCAAGTCCTGAATATATTAGAAACCCATATCTCAGAGCAAAGATGGTTGAAGTTCTGAACTGCTGGATGCCTCGTTCAAGGTGCAACAAGAAAGCTGTAACCCTTGTCAGTTTGTGTTGCTAATGCAACAAGTTCTGCAGTAACGCAGTCCACCAATCTAAAATCTTCTTCTTTTTTTTGTTGCAGTAGTTCTTCTTCTGCTACGTCTACTCTCTTTGAGGGGCATCAGTTATCACTTGAGTATCTTGTCAGGAATTTACTGAAATTATATGTTGACATTGAGTTCACGGGTTCACACACTCAGGTGATTGCAAGAGATTTTGTTTAGTGGCTATAATATTCCTGGCGTAATGAGCTTCTCTCTCTATTGCATTGTACTTGAGAATATGTTAGCTCTGGAAGCCATAATAGCCATTTGTTCTTACTTTCAATGGAACTGAAATCTAGTTATCCAAATGCAGTTCTATGACAAGTTCAATATTCGCCACAACATTGCTGAGCTATTAGAGTATCTCTGGCAGGTGCCTAGTCACCGAAATGCGTGGAGACGGGTAAATTCTTAGTGATCTCGCCTGACTTTGAACTTCAACTATTTTGTTCCAATGTTACCAAATTTGATGTGTTGCAGATTGCAAAAGACGAAGAGAAGGGCGTGTACTTGAACTTCTTAAACTTTTTAGTCAATGATAGCATCTATCTTCTGGATGAAAGTCTAAACAAAATTCTCGAGATTAAACAAATCGAGGCAGAGATGTCGAATACTGCAGAGTGGGAGCAGAGACCAACTCAAGAGAGACAGGAGAGAACAAGACTCTTCCATTCGCAGGAGAATGTTAGTTGGATTATCACTTCTTATATCTTGTTTTGTACTTGATACGATGCCATTAAGAACTTTGGTTTTCTTTGCAGATTGTTAGAATCGACATGAAGCTGGCAAATGAAGATGTGACTATGCTTGCATTTACATCCGAGGAGATCACTGCCCCTTTTCTACTACCTGAGATGGTAACCTGACCCTATTCCTGAAATGGTAACCTGCCCTATGATTACCCAACTGAAGAGTTTGTTTGTTTGTACTTATTTAGGTTGAGAGGGTTGCCAATATGCTTAACTACTTCTTGCTACAACTCGTGGGTCCACAGCGTAAATCGTTAAGCTTGAAAGATCCTGAGAAGTATGAATTCCGTCCAAAACAGTTACTTAAACAGGTTAGTAGTGATTACAATTACTCAAGTTTCCTCATCAAAATATGTGAGAAAAACTGTCTGAATATGATTGTGAACTTTGCAGATTGTTCGCATATATGTTAATCTCGCAAGAGGAGACACGGAAAACATATTCCCTGGTGCCATTTCCAGTGATGGCCGATCATATAACGAACAGGTCAAATCCTCCTTCCTATACCAAATCCTCTTTCATCATGATATATCTGTCTTTACTGAACTAAAGAAGTACCGGTTTTTGCAGCTATTCAACGCAGGAGCAGATGTGCTTAGAAGAATAGGTGAAGAGGGAAGAATCATTCAAGATTTTATGGAGTTAGGCACAAAAGCCAAAGCTGCTGCTTCTGAAGCTCTGGATGCTGAAGCTGCACTTGGCGAAATACCAGACGAGTTCCTTGACCCAATTCAGGTCTTTATCTGTTGAAAGAAACACCAATTTAAACCTAAATCTTATCTTAATACCATGCTTTACTAATGTTTGTTCTTGTTTTTTTTCTTTTCTTTTTTTGGCAGTGCACACTAATGAGAGATCCAGTGATTCTTCCAAGCTCAAGAATCACAGTTGATCGACCCATCATTCAACGTCATCTTCTTAGCGACAATGTAAGCATATCTAACACATTGATAATCTGTCACATCTCTCTCTCTCTCTCTCTCTGAAGATTTTGGCTTTGTATCTGTTCCTCTTACTTTTGCTGCAGCACGATCCGTTTAACCGAGCACATTTGACATCGGATATGTTGATACCGAACATCGAATTGAAGGCGAAAATCGATGAGTTTGTGAAGTCGCATCAGTCTAAGAAACGAACAAGTGGAGAAGATAGCAGCAACAAGGAAAGGATACAGACTACAAGCAGTGATATGTTAATTGATTAATTATGTGTTCCAAAAATAAACAACAGAAATACAGAACTTATTTTTTTACTTTTGTTAGGCTCTTTTTTCTATTAGGATTGTGACTCTTTAAGTGTTTATCTATCTTAGGGCTTGCTTTCCAGTTTGTGTCAATTATTTGATGCCACGGAAAAAAAAAACTTATAAATATGATATGACCATGTTATCATGTTTAGACTGTTTCTAACATTAGTTCGATGTATGGTAGAGTTTCTATGCATTTCGACGTTTGTTCATACAAAACTACTTGGCATAAGCGTTGTGAGTAACCAAATATTGTTTGGGTTTTTCTTTTATAGCTTAGTCTTTGCTGGTTTGTGGTCGATGGTTTGTGGTCGATGCAGACGAATGGTGAATCAACACCACTGAGTCAACAACCCTTTGATAATTAAAGAGGAATTGTACATTAAGCCAGCGTCGTAGGACTCTTACAGAAAAAAAAAGTTTTTTTTTATATTATGGATCAAAGCAATCATTCGAAGCATATAACACGCAAAACAGCAAGAATAAGAGAACTATTTCAAAATTAGAAGGAAGAAGAGTGTTGTTTACGTTTAGCGAACTCGTAAGCAATGCTAATTGAGCTTCTACTGTGACGAAGTGAGAACTCAGCCATCAATATCTCTTTCTCTGCTTCCGACAGATCTCCATGACTTCCCTGTTCAAACCCATAAAATGTTATTAAAGCATAACTGAACTGAAAGCTAACTTAAAAGATTGTCTAGCTGTGTCAATCGGTTTACCAGACGAGTGGTTCTGTCAGACACTGCGTGGTGCATCAGAATCCCTGCAGCCACTGAGACATTGAACGAATCAACCATTCCATTCATCGGAATACTGCAACGCAGATCTGATAACTCCAACGCTTCGTCACTTATTCCCCTGCATTTTCCCCATCAATCCATTAAGAAATTATGAACCCCACGAGTTTCAAACTGAGAGAGATGATATTACCTGCCCTCGTTTCCAACAACTATTGCTGTTGGGCATGACCAGTCCATATCGTAAATGGAAACCTATAAGATATTACCACCAAGAAAATGTCATGGGTATACATATTCATTTTGCTTCATCAATAGTGGTGATGACAAAAAAAGATACAAACAAATCTTTAGACGTTTACCGTATCCATTCCCAAATGAGTTGTGGCAATTCTGTAACCTCGAGACTTCAGAACTTCGAAACATTCTTTAGGTGTGTCCCAAAACTCAATGTCCAGCCATTTCTCAGCTCCCATACTCACATGGCGATTTCCGTTATACCTACACATACATAATACACATTCACCCACATAGAACGGTAAATGAATTCACATAATGCAATCAAACCTTTTCTACATTTCAGTCGACAACTAATGATCAATCTTTTCAGATATTGCCTATGACTCTTGTATCACTGCATAGTCCGAAAACCGTAACAATTTTCCATTCAATCTCATATGAACTAAGAATAAGAAAAGCCAACTTATGATCAATCTTGGACTCAGGAGGACAATGTAATAGAAATCTCTATTAGATCTCTATTGCCAATTAGTGACTCACAATCCATGTAGATTCAGTGTTTAAGAAAATGTAAGAATCCTCATTTATTCCATCCTATGATCCAAGAAACATAACTGCCAACTGATGATCAATCTTGGACAATGGACATGGAAGGACAATGCAGTCAATAGTTCTACAGACTTCAATCACCAGCTTATGATCTCAGGTCACCGCACATTGTCTAAACTCCAACTCATAAAAGTTTCAAGAAAATGCAAGAATCCCTAGTTTCACCCCAAATCCTATGAACCAACAAAGAAACAGAAAATGCCAACCTCAAAGGGGCACCTTTTGGAGCTGTCACAGGAAACAACATGCACAGATTGAATCCCTAACGCATCCGCCGAGCGGAACGCAGCAGAAATGTTTCCAAAATCAGAGAGACCTTCAACCACAAGACACACCGAGAAGCTTCGATTATCCACCACACGCCTGAACCTATCTGTCCTCTCTTCCATCATATGAGGAGTCACCGCCTCCAACACCTCACGGCTGCTAAGATGCACCTCACCACACCTGAACCTATCCTCGTAAGGAAACCAAGATCCTCTACAATCACCTTCACCATCGCTTAAGCTACACCTCCGCTCCATCTTCATCATGCTTGAGGCGTCACCACGATTGGTTGTTAGCAATTCCTTCACAGTATCCTTGGGAGAATCTTCCGTTAAGCTTTCCGGTGAAAGAGCCGCAGCTCCATGAAATGTGCGTCGAGCTGTTCCAATGCCTGTTAGGCGCGAAATCTCATCAACATCAAATTTAAAATTGAACATGTAAAATCAAACGAATCCAGATAACGAATTTCAAAACAAAAGCTTGAAACTTTAGACAGAAGAGTGAGAGATAGAGAGTGTAGTACATGATGGATTTGGATGGAGGACGGAGAGAGGAGAAAAAGCGCGAACTGGGATGATAAAGGTGATAGAGGAATTAGGGTTTGGAAGAGGAACGAATGGAAATGAAGAGACTGAGGCACGGATAATGGATTTGCACGAGTTCATGTGTTGCTGCTGCTGCTACAGTCTTTATTTCACTGTTGTATCGGAGCTTGAGATTAAAGAATCGCTAGATTCAGCTTCAGGAATCGAAAATGGACAAGTGAATCGCAGAGCAGAGACACAGTCCAAGGCTCTGGTTCCGATTTCACGAACACCGCTTGTCTCTTGTCGTCGTCGTCTCGAACACAAGAACAAAAAAGTCGATAACATTCTTGCAATAAAAATACTTAATTTCGGTTTAGTATGGTTCGATTTAAATTACAAAACAAAGTGATCTTCGGTTTAATATGGTTCGATTTGGTTTTATAGCTTGCTTTGATTGGAGAGAAACTTCAACCAAAACTAAAACCGAAAACATTCTTGCAGAGAAAGAAATTTCTTTTTTTGGGTTACGACTTGCCAAACTAAAATCTGAAAATATTCTTGCAGAAATATACCTCACAGAGAGTAACAAAAAGAATCTGCAAAAATACAAGTTCGATTCATGTAACAAATGCCTTTTAAAAGAGAACAACTTGGGTCTTCATCTCCTCATTTGTCTTGTTTTGCGACTAACTGTGTCGAGAATCCGACAATAATCAAAGAAGAGTGAGGAGTGCGCTCCTTCAAGACCGACCCGACTATGGCGATTCCCTCCGGCGAGATTGTTACACGGACTTCCTCCAATGACCAAATCGAATCCTCCGTACTCGTCCATAAGCTGCTCAATCGTATGGTCGTCTAGCTTTTCAACATCTTTAAACTCTCTCAGGATACCCTTTTGATTCGTCTGCTCCCAAAAGCTTCTCAATATGTTTCTGTTCGCTTCTGAAATCTCAACAGACACAACTACATTCATCCGAATTTGGAGACGATGGAGTGCAACTTCTCCACCACCAATCCCCGTGAAGAGTGACAGAACCTTTATTCCATTCGGAAACAAAGGCTTAAGGACAGACAAGTGATACGCAACAGTATCAACCTACAAATGAAACCACAAGTTTACAACCCCTAAAGAGTAAAGACTTTCAAACCAAAACTGAATTGATTTCTAAGTTATAGAAATATATACCTGAAACGAGTTGCCTAAAGACTTGTAGCGGTCAGTTCTGCTGATCCCTCCACCTCGAGTATGGTCTCTCGGGAAGCCTAGAAGCTTCTCCATCTCATCTGGCTCCAGCGGGGCAAGCTTGTTCTTACCTACCCAAACCAAATTCCATTTTTTGCATTGGTACATGACTTGTTTCTGCACATGTAGAGGTGGCTCTCCATCATATTTCTCAAGAGCCTCGCGTATTCTGTTTGTGAGCTTAGCACTGGCAATACAAGTCAACAGACAATTCAACTTCGTTCTCCCATCCCAACTAGGCCACCATCGCTTGGTTAAGGGTAAGGCTTCTTGGATTGTATTGTGCGGTGGAGGCTGAATTTGAAACCGATTATGGATTGGCAGGTTGTGAATATACCCCCTCTTTCTCGCAGCGGCACAAAAATGCTTTGAATCCACGAATTCAGGAACGATGTCGTACAAGTGGCTGGAGATCGTGGCCCAAACACCTTTTGGTGCCATGGCAACGTTCTCGTAGTAGAAGAAGGGCGGGCCACAAGCAATATCCGGAACTGGGACTGGTCTGTTCATCATAAGTCCAGGTCTATTAGGGACACCAAACCCAATCATCTCCTTTGGTAGATAGATGAGCTGGTCAGTGGCCATGGCAGTGTTCGGCTTTCTCTCTCTTCTCTGTGGCTCATTGTATGTTCGCCTCTTCTTGCTGTTATTCATAGGCTGCGTACAGTCAAAGAGTCAAGCATCAAAAACTGCATAATCTAGGGAAAAGTTCAGTGCGTTTTTGGTAAGTTCTTCTATTTAGCCACACGCAGTAATAACACAAATGAGGTCTACCACGTACAAGAGCAGCAAATTGAAGTAGTTACATGTTAAGTGACATGATAGATATAATAGTCTGACAGAAAGATTGAATCATAATCAACACAGGCAAAACATTAGACTTGAGGAAGCAATAGTAAAAATGCAAAGATGATTTAGAAACAGAACAGTATTAGTAACATCAGTAAGTTCAGTGAAACATGGAGTAGAACTACGACAAGAAATCAAAGTGCAATCTTAAACCAAAGCATCTAATCCAATCAAAAACAGCTAAGGTCAAGAAAAGCTAAGACCAAGAAAATCCAGAGTTACACATATGTATCTAAATCATCAATCAGACTGTCCGAGGTAAAAAGATGGCAAAGATCACAAATTCACAATGCAAAGAGCTTATGTAACTTGAAAGCTATAGTTAAGAACTACAACAATCCAATTAATGCATCTGCTACAGAACAATGATCTCATGCAGGGATAAAGAAATCAAAAGTTGAAGTTCTGAATAAAGTTAACAACACAGGTTACCAGAAAACTCTAGAGGTCTGGATAGACTAAATCCTTCAAACATAAGAGCAAAAAAACTAATTCTCATCGATTAATTAATCCAAGTATAGGACGAAGTTAATCAATATTACAATTTTAAAGCAGACAACCGGAGCCGTCTCATCAAATCGACCAGAATTGCAGAAGGATAATTGAATAATAACTTAGATGAGTGACTTAGGTTCTACAAGAGACTTAAACGTATTACCTCTTTTCTATTAGGTTCTGCGAAAAACTCATCGAACTGCCGTGCCATCTGAGCAGCACAAATGAAATCTACTACCTCTTCCACACTTGCATCTTCTCCTGAAAAGTTTGAGAAGAAACATGAATACTTGCAAGGACGCTAATTGGATCTATGAGAGAGGAATACATGTAAACTTCTTGCAGATTCAAACAGAAAGATAAGAGATATATTATCTTTATGTAAACGTCTTACCACATCTCTCTATAGCTATAGCAGCCTCTTCCCTCGAATAGTCCATTTTGATCAACGCTTGCAAGATACTATCTTCTTGGGAGGAGTTGTTTAGTTCATCCTGTCATTTTCAAAACAGATAAGAATACAACCTACTTCTTAAAATGTAAGACATAGGCAATGCATTAGAAGTAAAAGAATCTGTAGAAAAAGTTAGCAAAGGTCTGAAACTTGGAAAAAATAATTTATCTACCTCGTCATCATCTGATGATAAGGAATAGAGATTATCATCATCATCATTAGTGTTGATGTTCACGTCATTTGTTTCACCTAGTCTGTCAACCTCCTAGAAAACAGTAACAACACTCTATTACACGAAATACTCTATTCTAATATAAATATACAATCTAACTGTAGTGTTTACTTACCGCATAAGTTAGAAGTGCATTCGTGATCTCATCAATATTTTCATCTCCTGAAAGTTCAGAAAACCTCATTAAAGTTCCCAATTCCTAGAGAAAAGGAGAAAAGAGATATGTCACTAATTACCGTATTCTTGTATAGCTTTTATCACATTTTCCTCAGGAAACCCCATCCCAATAAAGTGATCGATAACTTTAGCTTTCGAAGAACTAGCTTCGGTGCTTGCCTTCACAAAGAAACAGATAATGGACTGTCATGAGATTTTAACCACAAGAGAAAAAATAGAACATCTAAAGTAACATAACAAATTCAGCCATAGAAATCTCACCGAATAGTTAAAGAGAGTTTCAAGAATCATCCTAGGTTCCGAACTTCCTCCTGCAAATTAGTGACAGTTCATTGATTGAAAGAATTCAGAAATGCATATCTCAGATAACACACAATCAGAAAATAGCCTCACCACCGGTTTCTTCTATTGCTCTAGCTATCATTTCACTTGAAAATCCCATCTCAATAAAACTAGCAACCACCTCATCAGAGATTCCCTTCTGAATAAAGTTTGGCGACGTTGTCTAATGTTATACACAAAAACAAAAACCACATTATTGTTGCTGCAGCGTGAAACAAGTTAGAATTGTATATATCTTTAAAATTGAGTAAACACTTACCTCAGCAGGTCCATATGAGGTTTCAGACATAAAATGTACAGGAGAAGAAGATGGAGAAAATTGGAAGTTATCGATCTCATGTTCATCATCATCTGTATTCCAATTCACATCATCACCACCAGAATGTTCCACCTAAATAAACATTGCACAAGCAAAGAAAAAACGAACTCTTGTCATATTTCATTTCCAGAATTTCAACTATCTGAGAGATAAGAAAGGTGTGACATTACCATTTCTTCAGTAAAGTTGATGTATTTAACACTGTCCTCAAACAACAAACCTGCCAATACAATCATAGTCACATCTTTAGATGAATGCAATTTCAGTTTCGAGAAAGAGATTAGTTGCTTTCTAAATCGAAACCCTTTCCTCACTGCAAGCTAATATGTTGAGAATGTTTCAGCATTCATGCTAAGTCCTAAGTCTTAACCAACAAAAACGATGTAAAGCCATGGATAATGTGCAATAACCATAAAAAGTATCAAACTTTAATGCGAGTTAACTCATCAAGTCCGAGAAATCGAAAAGTCACAAGAGAATGAAGGATCAAATGCATAAAAATGTAACAGAGGAATGCAAGAAAGTTACTCACAAGCAAGAAAACAGCAGAGAGAGAGCTCGGCTGTTTCAGGAAGTTGAGCTAAGGCTAGATTTCAGCTGAGCAGCCAAATGCGAGTGAATATAACCAAGTTCCGATCAAATGAAACCCTAAAACGAAGAAAGCGAAACACTGAGCAGCGAAACATTAGAGAGACGATACAGAGAGGCTCTGTTCATGAATCTGTTGCAAGTAAAAGACTTTCTAAGAGATAAGAGGAAACAACAACTCTGAAGAAGAACCTTACCGGAAATTGAAACGAGAGGAGTCGATCACATTCACAGTTCACAGAGATTGTGTGTTTTTTAACTTGTCCAAGAAGACGAAGAAGAGAATCAAAGAGCCAAGGTTTCATTTTTTCCAAAAAAAAAAAACACTTTTTTATTTTTATCTCACAATTGAAGCTCATATTTTTCTTATCACTCTAATTAACCCAATTTCATAAAACATTATACAAATCTTAATGATGATTCATCTTGTATTGTTTTAAAACATTACACTATACTCTTCCATCAATACTAAAATTAAAGAGATTCTTTCGTTTGTGGTTAATCTCATAATCAATTTTGTAACAGAAAATGGATTATTTTAGAAATTTGTGGTCATATCCGTGACTTTTCAATACTTAAGGGCTCTTTACATAATTAATAGAAACTTTTAGGTGAAGAATTGAAAATTTCAAAAAATAATGGTCGGTCAATTTACATGTACCTACGCAAGTCAAAGGCCGTTACATATATTATTTCTTTTGTCAGGCCGTTGATATAAAGAGTTGAATATTGTAGGATGTGAGACTATATAACAGTTCTAATCCAAAGATTTTATCAGTCTCTTTGGCGAGGTAAATAGGTCGTCATAGACTCATACCAAAACCTCAGAAATCAAATCATAGATGTCGTATATCAATTGTCATAATATTTATTTTCTAATAAAAAAATCACAATAAATTTCTATTTGTTATATGGACTAGTGGATGCCAACTCATTTATTTTTTGAGTTGACATCCACTATTTAATTCCAACTATAAATGAGTTGGCATCCACTATTTTTTGTCTTTTTATTTTCGAATTAGATAGAAAATTGATTTATTGAACGATAAACCTAACATGGAAAAATTATTCAAAGACAATAAATATGAGACCGTCTGTTCCTATATAGTATTTCCTTTATTTCTTATTAATCTATTTTTTAGGAAAAAAATTTGTTTTTGAAATTTGTATTTTTTAAATTATTTATGCACGCTGTCAAAAAAAAAAAAATTATTTATACACATTTTATTAGGTATTGATGAAGGGTTGCAAATTTCAAAAAATTAGTTAATTACTATTGAATTAGAGTTATAGAAAATTGTAAATCACAAAAAATGTATTTATAGTCTGTTTTTAATATGTTTTCTTAAAATGTGTGAAAAATCTAAAAACTAGATGAATTAATATCATCATAAAAATGTTAATATTAATTATGAGTTTATGACATTTAGACAAAAGTATGAGTTTATGTCATTGAGCTACTCTCTTTTTTATGATATTAATTTGGAATCATTTGATCTTGGTGTTCTTCAATTAAGCTTTCTTTTTAAATTCCTTTTATGATCTACATAAAAGCTCCAATGAGCTATTATATTTGCCTAATCTATCTCAATAAAGCTCTAAGAACTTGAATCCTACTAGCTTTTGTATTCACTTCCACTGATAATTATAACACGATTATAATTTTTTGGCCAAACGAATATCACGATTGCTATTGATCATCATCAGTTCATATTTTAAAGCCTTTCTGGTTCTTCTCTAAACCGAAACAACCCGGTACTGGTTTCCTCGGCTAAGCTAGTTGGATAACCAAAAGGATATATACGTAAGATATGGGCTCATAAACCCTTTTTTGTTTTGGACAAAAGGCTCATATACCTTTAGTAACAGATTTTAAAGCCCACTTCAAGATCCAGTTCAAATATGTTTTTAAGAATTCGGTAGATTTTATCCGTGAAGCAAATTAAATCCACAAATGTGAATCGGAAAACCAAGGAACCAATGAGAGGCAGAGAAGAAAAGTGTGGAACGTTCATTGAAAACCATATCATCATCACATGCAAAAAGCGTATAATCTGTCTGATAATTTACAAATAAATATATTATAATAACAAAGTTTTTATATAAAAAAAAAAGAAAATAATAATGTTATTAGACATAGAGCGTGATGTTCTGGATATGTCTGGATTTCTTTAAACTAAAGCATGCTTTTTTGTCAGCTCAACCTTGACTGTATTTTTCCAGAAGTTATTATATCTGTAAAAATAATGATACCAAAAAATAAATAGAAAATAACTGTTGATAAAAAAAAATCAGTAATTTAAGCTAGTTATATTATATAGCTCTATTAATACCATTTTTAAGTTAATACCACATTTAAATAACAGAATATAACATTTATTTAAGGGAAATTGTTAAGTTTCTTTTTAACAAAATTTTTTTTGTTAATTTTCTAATTTTCTTGCACCCAAAAGTCTTTCCACCATGGAAAAGCAAACGTGGTTGAGGAAATAAAACATGGATTATTGTTGATTTTGCCATTTTTCGTAGAATACGTATTTCGGATTTTTTTTGGTAAAAATACGTAGTTTATACAAAATATTAAACCCTAAGAACAACCACAACCGACTAAACCCAAACATAACGAATAAAACGCATGTTAAATCATATTTCCGTAGCCTGAAAAAGGGCAAAATCCATAAACTATTCAAAAAAGTACAAAATCCACAAATGTCATTCCAAAAAATGGCAAATCCATAATTGATTCAATAAAACATTATTAAAATTTTGAATTTATAGTAGTTTTATTTATTTATTTAATTCTCTCTTCTTTTTTTGTGTGCACATTTACATATTTTATTCATTACTCACTAACAGAAGTTGAAAAAAGGAAATAAAAATCGGCTATGAAAACCCCACTAGTCCGCCTCTAAATCACAAATTGCGCAACTACACATCTATAGAGAGAGAGAGAGAGTTTTAGTTAGAGAGAGAAAAAATGGCGAGATTGACGTTGTTGATTGTGGCGGTTGTGCTAGCTTTTCTAGTGGCGGCGCCGATGCCGGAAGTGACGGCAAAGAAGTATACAGTCGGCGAGAACAAGTTTTGGAACCCCAACATCAACTACACCATCTGGGCTCAGGGAAAGCACTTCTACCTCGGAGACTGGCTCTGTACGTTCTTCTTTCTCTTCTTTCTCGGATCTGTTTATATTAGATCTGATTTTAAACGGGTTTCGTTTTAAATCTGTCAATAATTTCAACTTTTTCATACCAAAGTTGTTCGCTTTTCAAGTTTCTACAATGCTCCTTCAAATCTTTAAAGTTATCAATTTTGTGTCTGCTCAGACAGTTTTGAATTGATTCACATTATTCTTGGCTTTTTTTTCTTTTCCAAAATTGTTTCTTAATTAGTCCAGATCTGGTTAGAACACACTCTTAAGGTTGTCTGAATCATTACATTCCTCTGTCTCTCTCTCTTTCTGTCTGATAAACAGTGTCCCACCAAGTTAAAGCTGAAATCTTGAATCAGAACATTTTCATTATAGCTCAAATCCAATCCTTTTTAAAGAAAGATCTTGTTTCAAATCAAGAATGTGTCAAATCTTTGGACTAATGTTTTGTGGTCTCTTCTTCTCAGATTTCGTGTTCGACAGAAACCAACACAACATTCTTGAAGTGAACAAGACTGACTATGAAGGCTGTATCGCCGACCACCCAATACGCAACTGGACACGTGGAGCTGGGAGAGACATTGTCACTCTCAACGAGACCAAACATTACTACCTTCTTGATGGAAAGGGTGGCTGCTATGGCGGCATGAAGCTAGCTGTTAAAGTCGAGAAGCTTCCTCCTCCACCAAAATCTGCACCTGTCAAGAACATTGGATCAGTTTCAATGGTCACAGGTTTCGCTCAATTCATGGTTCCGGTATCTCTTTTCGCTTTCCCGGCAATGTGGGATGTGATCACAAGGATGTGGTAGTGGTGACCAGTCTCAAAGTTCTTTAGTTGAATCGAAAATTCTTTTCAGGGAAAGCTTTTAATTTAGTTGAGTTCTCTTTTCTCATTGTTATGTTGGATTGTTGGTTTTTAATCTTTTGTTTTGTGTGTCTTTGAATTAATTGTTGAAAAAAAGATTGTAATTGATTTATTTGAGAAATTAAATTACTGAAATTTCTTTAAGATTCGGAAAATCTCAAAATTTTCTTGTTTTGTTGGGGAGTGAATGGAGCTGGATCAGTTGTTGAACAAAGGAGAGTGATTGTATTCGGATTATCTGTGGATTTATTAAACTATGAAAAACAAATAAATTTTTCTCTTTGACGTATTTTGGCATATCTGTTCCATGTGATTTTATCTGTGATTGTTCGTATTGTAGTATCAAAAAATCCAACCACCACATGTCCTTTTCATAAAGCTGTCAATCTTATTACCAAATGGATTAAATTATATGTTTGATATATGAACAAATATTTAGGCTTTAGCTATGTGTATTTATGTTTGAATTTTGTTTGGAGGGATTTTAAGAATACGCGTAAATTTAAGATGGACACCTAAACGAATCTAGAATGATGTTGTTGATTGATTGGTGGGGACGTGGAGAATTGTAGATTGATGAAATGAAGACTCTGGACAATCTCTATTTCACGTTTATTTTTTTGGTATTTGTCTTTGTCAGTGACAATTTAGATGTTAACGACTTTTACCAAATGTGGATATAGTTACTTACATCAGGTTTCATAACCAGAAACGTCCTCTTCTCAAAAATATGTAGTTGTGAGAGTTTCTATTTGAATGATTGTATCCTTGCAGTGGTTGGTTACTACTTACTACTAATATAATGAGAGATCAAAACCAAAACTTTTGTTATGTCACTTATGTAAATAAGGATAAAGCTTTTTTTCCATCTGTAAATAATTTTGTACTGGACAAAAGATAAAAACATTAGCCCACGCGCGTGAGAGCCCAAATTTCTGTTTGTTTCCCGGGAAAATTGAACTCACGAGAAGTTTGAACCGTCGAACGCAGAGATCTAAACCCATAACTCTAAGATTCTATCACTTATAGGACTTAAAGGGACGAGCTTTTTGATCATAATCTTATGAAATGCTTATCCTACCAAAATGTTCGTCTCCTTCTCCGACACTGCGCTCACCGTTCGTTTCTCCATCCCGGCAAAGAATTGCACGCTGTTTTAACCACTTCTGGATTGAAGAAAGCTCCGAGGTCGTACCTTAGTAACGCGCTCTTTCAGTTTTATGCGTCCGCTGGTGAAATGGGTACTGCCCAGAAACTGTTCGATGAAATTCCTCTGTCAGAAAAAGACAATGTGGATTGGACCACTTTGTTATCCTCTTTTTCTCGGTTTGGGTTGTTGGTTAATTCGATGAAGCTCTTCGTGGAAATGAGAAGGAAAAGCGTAGAGATTGATGATGTTTCTTTAGTCTGCTTGTTTGGCGTGTGTGCCAAGCTCGAAGATTTGGGTTTCGGTGAACAAGGGCATGGGGTTGCTGTAAAGATGGGATTTTTGACTAGTGTAAAGGTTTGTAATGCCTTAATGGATATGTATGGGAAATGTGGGTTTGTGAGTGATGTCAAACGCATTTTCGAGGAGTTAGAGGAGAAGAGCGTTGTTTCATGGACGGTGGTTTTGGACACTGTTGTGAAATGGGAGGGGTTGGAGAGAGGAAGAGAGGTTTTCGACGAAATGCCTGAGAGAAATGCTGTTGCTTGGACGGTTATGGTTGCTGGGTATTTGGGAGCTGGGTTTACAAGGGAAGTATTGGAGCTTCTGGCAGAAATGGTGTTTAGATGTGGGCATGGTTTGAACTTTGTCACCCTTTGCTCAATGCTATCGGCTTGTGCGCAATCGGGAAATCTGGTCATTGGTAGATGGGTTCATGTGTATGCATTGAAGAAGGCAATGATGATGGGGGAAGAAGCAACTTATGATGATGTGATGGTGGGAACGGCATTGGTTGATATGTATGCTAAATGCGGAAACATAGATTCTTCCATGAAGGTCTTCAGATTGATGCGTAAGAGGAATGTGGTGACATGGAATGCTTTGTTCAGCGGGTTAGCAATGCACGGGAAAGGTAGAATGGTGATTGACATGTTCACGGAGATGGTCAGAGAGGTGAAGCCAGATGACTTAACCGTCACTGCTCTCTTAAGTGCTTGCAGCCACTCAGGGATGGTAGAAGAAGGGTGGCGATGTTTCCACAGCCTCCGATTCTATGGTTTGGAACCTAAGGTTGACCATTATGCATGTATGGTAGATATATTGGGCCGAGCTGGTCGTATTGAAGAAGCAGAGATATTGATGAGGGAAATGCCAGTGCCTCCGAATGAAGTTGTCCTTGGTTCGCTTCTAGGCTCGTGTAGTGTCCATGGAAAGCTGGAGATAGCCGAACGAATTAAAAGAGAGCTTATTCAGATGAGTCCAGGCAACACAGAGTACCAAATACTTATGTCAAACATGTATGTTGCAGAAGGAAGGAGTGACATTGCTGATGGGTTAAGGGGAAGTCTGAGAAACCGAGGCATCAGAAGAATACCTGGTTTGAGTTCCGTTTACGTTAATGACTCAATACATCGGTTTAGTTCAGGAGATCGATCACACCCGAGAACGAAAGAGATCTACTTGAAGTTGAATGAAGTGATTGAACAGATAAGATCAGCTGGTTATGTCTCTGATCTCTCTGGCCTGGTTTCTCATTCGGAGGGTGACTTGGAGGAAAAAGAGCAAGCTTTGTGCTGTCACAGTGAGAAATTGGCCGTCTGTTTCGGGCTTCTGGAGACAAAACCGAGGACACCTCTTCTTGTCTTCAAGAATCTGAGGATATGTCGGGATTGTCATTCGGCTATGAAGATTGTTTCAAAGGTCTATGACCGAGAAATCATCATCAGAGACAGAAATAGATTTCATCAGTTCAAGGGAGGCTCTTGTTCTTGTTCCGATTATTGGTGAACAGATAAAATGGCTGGACGATTTCGGTTCTTGAGACTATTTTTCAAACGAATTTGCAAAAAAATGAGACAAGGTTGAGACAATGGAGAAAATTTTCATTGAAATTCTATAAACGACTATACTACAATTCAAATGCATACAGAAGCTGTGCTCTGCAAAAGGTGAAGAAGTAAAATGTGTTAATTTATGAAAAGTTAGGGTGAAATCAAGAAGCAAAAACTCAAAATCTTGATCAAAAGGCATCATTCTCTTCTGATCAGTGGGACGGTCCAGTATCTTCCTTCTCTGAATCATCTTTGTTCTCAGAGTTTGGAGAGTTTTCAGCTGTTACCGTCTCATCATCCTCGTTCTGAAGAAGCGATGAGAATGATAATGGGTTGTACGTCGAGCTAGCCTTTTGTAACCCTCTTATAGCTCTCATTGCAGCGAGTGTACTCTTATATATATCAAGATTTTCATTGCCGAGAGTTGAGGAAGTCTCGGCTGAGATTCTTGGGGAGTTGTGCTGATGTGAGCTCGAGTGTGCTTGCACGGTGCTGGAAGACTCTACAACTTCTGCTTCTGAAGGAAAGAGAAGCTCAAGATTGGCCTCACAATCACGGACTAACTTAGTAAGGGGCTCTGTTGTAAAGAAAGGTTGATGGAGAACAAGCTGTGTGAAAGGCAAACGTAGAAGTCCACCTGTTCTTTTATCGTACTTCTTCAAAATCTTGACAAGTCCTAGAATCCAAGATGTTTTTAGCATACAGAGTAGTGTGTAATAAGAATTGGTTCTCTAATATGATATATAATTACCTGCAAAATTAAGGGAGCTGTAGTTTTTGAGGAGCACCATCTCGCCATGAATGGTAACAAGGTCTCTGCGAATATCCATCATTTCTTCACTGAACTCGCTTTCTGATGCGAACTCCCCATTCTTTCCGTTCTTCTCTTTAACTTGCTCGATTCTTTCCTTGAGCTCCTGTACGCAAAATGATGAACAACTAATGCATATGTCTCCAGACCAGTAGAGCAAGAAGTTGACCAAGGATCATAGACCACAATTTCTAAGCAATTAGATCTCGATTGTGATAAACCACAGAGCAAATAAAAATTGGTTCCAATGTAACCATAAGAAGACTTCACCAGGGCTATTGAATCTAATTGACGCACAGAGAAACTAGATCCAATTTAATTAGAGATCATCACTTAGAACTATCTCCGGTTTCAACTACTAGCAATTTTGTTCTAGAATTCGAGATTAATCATCCTATTGAACGATCCAATTCTACACACTTGTTTAGCTCCGAATCATGAACCAAGTTCTAAGGAAGTTCTAACTTGACCTAAAATCCAATCTGAAGATAGAATAAATTCGATGAGAGTGAGGAAGCAAAACCTGTAATCTGATAACGAAATCTTCTTCTTTGTCAACGTAAAAATCATTAAACTTCTCAAGTTCCTCGTTGAGTATCCTCACAAACGAACCCTGGAGATCTTCCGTCGGCCTAACGCCGGGAGCCACATCGCCGTCGTCTGTGGCGGAGGAGATGTTAGTGGTATCAGCGAATACCGGACGCGAATCGAGGTGATCGGAAGAGTAAGGATAGTATTTGAGAAGCTTTTTCAAAGGTTTATAGCAAAGGAACTTGTCTCTCCACTCAGGTAAAGTTTCTTCGAGGTGAGTACGAAACTCTTTGCCGAATTTCATGTGTTGGATCTAATGGAGAAGACGGAGATTGCGACGGTGAACCAGAGCTGGCTTGGATAAGAACGCTAGAGGAAGGAATCTTAACAGAGAGAGAGAGAGAGAGAGAATCTGATGAAGTGGACGTGGATGGCTCTGATTAAATATTGACCATTGATCTTCTCTCTTTTCTTTTTCTTTTTATAATTTTCTTATTAATTTGGATATTTATCGATCAAGAAATTCGGAACTACTTTGCATTTGGTGGTTAAGTATAATTGTAATAAATGTAGTAAAAATGTTAGTTGATGAAATAAAAAAGGGTAAATGATAGTGAATAATTTGTTGGATGTAATTATGTGGAATATATTGATTTTTTCAATAATAAAATTTGGCTGGACGACGCAAATTGGCATTAACGAATCTTTAAATTTATCATTAAAATCGAAACAAAGTGATTATGTTCGATTTCTTCGTTTTTTCTTCGGCATTTGATTATATGCAAGTTGTGATTAAATGCATCTATAATATGTCCATGAAGGTCCATGAAATGACACATCTATACTAGATTACTAGTATATTAGTATCAGAAGATTTGTAAACTTTTCTCTAAAGTGGCTCTTAACCAGATCGTCAACCTGAGATGGACCTCTGACGGGCTTGAACGGGCATGCATATAATTATATATCGAAAGAAAGAGAAAACTATTCTATGATATTCGTTATATTCCAATATACTATTAGATTCGTCTTCCATATAATGAGATTCCCTTATATTTTACGTCTAACTAGCACCGGATCCAGAATTAAATCCACTTATATTTTTAGACTATATCACTTTACACACTTATCATTAAAAACTATACAATATAATTAGATGTTATAGTCACGACTCTCGATTACTATTGGCTAAAGTGTGTGACCAAGAATAAACATCGATTTCCCTTTTATCATATACTTCTTCAAATATTTGACTAGTCCTAACTCCAAGATGTTTAAGCATACTGAGTGATAAGATTTGTTTATTTATATATTTCTGTATTTATTATATCCTGATAATACTTGCAACATTTAGGGAACTGTAGCTTTTGTTATTATTTTATAGATTTTGTTTTGGCAACAACAGTTTACGTTTTTATAAAGGAAAGAAATTATAAAAAAAAACATCTTACGTTTTATTTATAGAAATGCCAACAATTTAAAGGAATAGAAAAGAAAAAACAGAAGCGGGAAATGAAACAGCCGCGTATTAGGAATTAGGAACGACTTCAACGTCTAGCTTTAATTAGTTGAAACGTCACCGTTCGGAGTACAAGGATGATGTTTTGATGGGTTACAGTGTTACATGGTCGAGAACTTCAAATGGCATTAAGAGCATGAAGAACGTCAGCCTTGAGGTCATCAAAGTCTTCAACGCCAAAGCTGAAGCGAACTAAGTTGTCTTTAATTCCATGTTTCAACCTCTCCTCTTGTGGTAAATCCCTAAATCAGATCCCCAAAAAAAACACACTTGTGTAACCACCACTAATCAATCACGTACATTTATGATCAATGTTTTAAAGAAAAATCATACCAGTAGGACGTTATGGCAGGTTGGTCCACGAGGCTCTCGCATCCACCAAAAGATGTTGCAATGTAGGGTATCTTCAGAGAATCAATGAATTTGATCGTAGTCTCGAGATCTCCAGCAATCTGCTCGCAGATAAGGAAAAAAAAAACACATTTTGAGATTAGTTTATATATTTACTTGGATAATATTATCAAAAACTTTGATTCTCTCATATTTTTTTGTTCTTACCTCGAAACTGACCACACCACCAAAGCCAGTCATTTGTCGCTTGGCTATGTGATGCTCGGGATGACTAGGAAGGCCCGGATAGTAAACACGACTCACCTAACACGATTCGATTTTCACATACCAATGAATAAATAATGTGTAATCAAACAGAAAGAATGTATCTTTTGGTAATTAATTAAAAAGTATAAATACCTTGGGATGGGCTTCTAAAACTTGAGCCATCCTCAAAGCAGTTGAATTCTGTTGCTGTACACGAAGATGCATAGTCTTCATGCCTCGAATGAGTAAATATGCCGCATTCTGTTTTTCGTAAAGAACAAATCATGTTAGAAACTGTTGATGAATGAGCATATACAACGAACCGATCCTAACTAAACTGTGACAAAAAATAGTTTTGAACCCAACCAAAATGAAATTCAACTGATTTATGAAGTGATAGCATTAGAGGAGGATCAAGTTTTTTTACCGGATTAAGTGTACCTCCCAAAACATGATGCAATTTGCGAATCTCGGAAACCAACTTTGTTGAACCCGATATGCATCCAGCAAGAACCTGAGAAAACAGATAGATTATTTAATGACCCCTTTTATCCGAACACTAATATATAAGGCTCTGAATTATGAATTACGCACATCGTTGTGGCCTCCAAAGTACTTAGTAGCAGATTGGAGAACAAGATCAGCACCAAGAGCAAGTGCCTTCTGATTCAAAGGTGTTGCAAAGGTAGAGTCTATGCAAACAAGAGTTCCTCTTTTGTGACAGATTTTTGAAACTAACTCAATGTCGACACATCGAAGAAATGGGTTTGTTGGTGACTCAGTAAAGAACATAGAAACCTGCAGACACAACAGGCCACAGTTCACATATTGTCTTCAAACTTCAAAGTATGTTAAGTACAATACCTCATGCTTTATCACTGCAGCTTCGAGCCCTGTGGTATCAGCAGAGTCAATCACAGTCACCTAGAATATACACACGTAACAAAGGGTTAATCGATGTTGCCTTCGACACGACAGTTAGTAATGAAATTAGGGGATTCTTACAGTGATTCCCAACTTTGGAAGAAAAGTCTCCATAAAATTCCTTGTTTCTTTATAACAATCTATAGTTGTCACAATATGTCCATTTCTTGGAACCAAAGCCAAAAGCATAACAGTGTTTGCACACATCCCAGAAGCCATAACCAAAGTTGATTCAGCACCTTCAAGTGCACTATAACAAGATAGCATCAAAGGAACAATTAAGAACAAATTAAAACTCAATGGAGAGACAGTAACCAAAGACATCAAGACAGGGATATAGAGAAAGAGAGACCTAATCTTCTCTTCGAGTACCATAGTCGTTGGACTTCCATAACGAGCATACTCGTGAGATACAGATCTTTTCTCCTACAAGATTCAAGTCAAGCTAGCTTTGTAAACGAAGACTAACCCTTTTTCTGATAATTAAGTTCACAAAATTTTCAACAAGAAGCATATGATAAGCGGACCTTGAAGTCGATAAGCTCGGAAGTTTTCTTGAAGAAGTAAGTAGTAGTGTTGACTACAGGGGTCGTGATCGAATTAGTGACTATATCACGACCTAATCTTTCACCTGATTATAAACCATAAAACCCACAACAAGTAGTATCTCATTATCTCGATTCATTCTCCAGTTGCGAAAAATTCCATTTTTTTTAATGAATGCAGAAGAAAAAAAGAGAGACTATTGTTTACACTTTACACTAAATATGCTATGGCAAAAATTAGGTAAATAATGTTAAAAAAAAAAGAAGCCAATTATATGTTGAATTAGTCTGTATGAATGAATTTATGTTTACTAGTGAAATGAAGAAGATTCATAACAATTAGGGGTGGTGGGGAGCGGATAATTTAAATTTTGTTGTGATACATGTGATTAGAATAGCTTTGTGGTGATTGCCATTTTCTTAGGGAATTTGCATCATATCTCAACGAAAAATGCTCTAATTAGGTAATTAAATGACAAGATGGTTTAACCCATGATGACAAAGCTGATTTTTTTTATTTTTTTTATTTTGGTCATTTAAGACGATTATGTCATTTTTGTTTAACTAATATTGAGAAGGTGATTTATTTCGGTAATATTAAAAATGATATATACATCTAATTTACCAGATATTTTTATGCGAATTTATTCATATAGTATAGATGTCGCAGAACGCATGATTTATTTATGTAAGCATCTAATATATCGAATGGATTTATAATTCTGTCATATATGTGACTAATCTAGTATTTTATGTTGCTATATGATTATTTAGTGCGTTAAATACTACTACAATATTCATGCTGACAAATATAGCAGGCTAAAGTAGTGAATATTTATGAAAATACTACTACTACAATATCCAATGGATCATATATATTTTTTATTTGGTTTTGATCTATATATACGGTTATCTGATTTTTAAAAATCAAATCGAAACAATATATATCAAAACAGATATTACATATAAGTACGTTTGTCCAACCTTATAACCGACTACTATCTAGCAGGAAACCAGTTAACCAAACATATATTAACTAGTAAGAAATCATAAAGAGAAAATGGATCGATGTATGTGACGTACCAGCATGAACAGTCAGACTCCCATCGGAGCTCAGGAATGATGAGGGTTTCAAATGGTTCATGTCCTCCATTTTTAAAATCATTTTGTGAAAATAAATCGAGAACTCACCAAATTAGAAACGAAAAATAATACTTGAACACCGTGTGTAGCGGTACAAATACTTTTTATCACTGAAATCTCGAAACCTTCACTTTTCTTATATAGTAAAGTAAACAATATAGAAAATGTAACTACGCTCTAATGCAGAAAACTCAAATTCGAAAAAAGTCGAAAGATATATATTTTTGGTGATCCCTCTTTCTTTCTCTTGTCCTCTCTAATGAATTTGATATTTGATTATGATTTTGGGTTGATTTTCAAAGTCTTTATAATGCATCTATTTATATAGTTGCTAAATCTAGATGCAATGGTTTTATTTTTGGTTACGAAAGAGAAGTGAGGTGTAACCGTGTAAGTTATAGTTTTAAATTTTGACCAGACCGCGTGACTGCTGTACCAAACGCTGTTGCTCCTACAAAAATCTTAAATTTTATACAACTATGTATAAAACCTGAATTTATATAGTAAATCCCGCCCAACATGGGTTTGAAGATAATTTTAACTTCAACTATTTTGATTACATTACTCTAATTTCCTGTCTATTAAAATAGACTTCCCCTCTAAACTTTAGCTTCGTAATAAATATTCACATTATAATATCTAAGTCAGTTGATTTCTCTCTACAGTGGTCCACTCCTTCGTCTTCCATGTTTCTATTCAATAATTATGTTCTTTATTAAATGATATACTCACGTTATGTCTCTATTTGATTCTTCTTGTTCGGTTTATCGTCATGTTTAAATCAATTATTATTTGTTTTGCTGTTTTCGAAATAGTTTGTGTGCTCTCTACACAAGCATTTATCTTTAGTACTTGTTGCATGTAGATATTCTGTCCAATAGAAACATGTTCTGAATCTAGACAGCTCAAAACCTTAGTAAATTTTTTAAGAGATCTGCATTCTCTGAATCTAGACTTAAGAAAATAAATATTTTATCTTTAGAAAAAAAGGAAGAAGAAGAGTGAGTGGTGAATGTGAAAGAAATGAGGCAATTAGGGTTTCTTCAGCTTTACACTGCATGTGAGTTTATGTTGTTCTTTCTTTTTTAAGTCCTTTTAATTCGTTGTTATAATATCGTTGTTGAGACTACAAAAATAATTATAGTTGTTAAAGACTGTACAGTAACGTAAGACAAAAAAAAATGGAAGGGCATATTAGTACAATAAACAAAAGTATATAACATTTCAGTGGCAAATTAACAAAAGTATAATACAACTATCTTTTAGATATATAAAAATGAAGGGTATCGGTAGGTCATCATAAACAAAAGTATAAAATTACAGTGGCAAATTGATTAGGTTAATTTAGTAAATTATTTCCATATGTTTCATTAAATTATTTTGTGGGAAACCTTTTTGTATGGCCAATGTTTCAAGATTTTGATTATAGATTCATGCTCAATCCACCTAACTATCCAATTAGTCATTTTCTCCCTTTTTATTAAATTAAGAGAACTTTTTTTGTATTAGATTCCCTCTAAAATAAAGTACTAAAGATGGTGTGTGAACTAAAAACCATTTTGTTAATATATGTGATGATTTCCCCTAAACGAATGTTTTATTGTAAAAAAGAAAGTCAGCCAATTGAACTAGACGGACAAATCTTTTTGATATCAGTTATTACTTGATAAAGAGCGAAAAATTCTTAAGATTAGATCAATTGCCAACATTTTAAAATTAAGATTCTTAACCATATTAGTCTCTAATAGGATATTATTAAGAGTAACAATGGAAAATTGATAATTGGTCATGTTGAAGCAATTAACCATTTCTTTTATTTTTTGTCATCTTGGGAAATCCAAAAAAAAAAAAACATAATCCAACTATGCAACGCATATATTTATGTTTCTTTGCCTTTGAGTTGGCTAGAAAGGCCAATGAGATAGATTTGAAAAGAATTAAGTTGATTTTTCTGGAAGAACTCAGATACACTTGCTTTTTAGGACCAGAGAAATCTGCTTTCTTAGACTCTGTCCATTGGGATCAAGTCCTCACTGAATTGGACTGGGCTAGTCCAGTTTAACCGGGAACCCATTCTTATGCTTTACAAATTGAAGACCCATATCAAAATATCAAATGGTTGAAACTTGAAAGACATAAGACTAATATAAGGACACTTGCAAAACGAAGTATAACGCAACACCGGGGCACTGAGGTCCTTAGTGTTATAAAGAATCTGGTTAAGAGGTTAGGTGAATGTGAATGGTGTTATTGGATGACAACAAAAAAGAAAGATGTTCTTAACTCGGGTTTTAAACCAGAGGCAAGTTTGGCTCCAAAAAGGTCTTAAAACCGTATAAGAAACTTTTCAAACACATTTGTTCCTTCTTATGCTAAAAGATGAATCATGAAAAGAAAAAAACTAACCGGGGAGATATCACCCCCAGCTTTTGGCATCTTATTGTAAAGAGAGAAAAGTGGTTTAATGATGAGCGGTGGCTTCAACCGTCTTCTGTGACATCGATTTGATCTGCAGGTGAAAAGCAATTTGTCGGTACTTACTTAGCATACAATTTGTCGGTACTTACTTAGCATATGCTAAAATTCAAGAACATTTCAGGTATAGAGCTATCCAAGTTTTAAACATTTCCGGTTTTGCAAAGAGAAATTCAGTTGAGGAACTAGAATCAGCAAACAACAAGATTGAACAAGTAAACCTTTTTAGAGTGTACGCAACATGACTAATGAGCCAGAGATTTTGCTGAAGGCATCACAACACTGGCTCGGCTACTCAAAGATGTTCTTAACAGAGGAGACTCACAACCACAAACTTTAAAAAGCTAGTAACTTCAGAAGCAAAATCCAGAGAAAGACACACCACAAAGCGGTATTATTTCAACAAAGTCATTCAAAATTTGATGACGACTTGTAGAAGTAGCATATGTTAATCTAATAGGGATTATAAGATCAAAACTCAGGCATAATCCGTGTACTAGCAGAAACAAACTAATAAAAAAAAGCAAAGCAGCAATCTGCATTTCACATCTATAGCTCGAGAGCACTGTAAATTCAAACAAAACTATGCTCTCTCACTCTAAATACGATCAAAATCATGAATTTTCTGATCATAAAAAAATTTGTGTATCCACCAATTTCGACATATCATGTCAACAAACAATTCGAATGTCAACAATCATCAGATGATGAACTAAATTCATAAATCAATACCCTTTTCGAGCAGACAAATCTAATCAGAAATAGAAGACAAGATCTTCAAATTGAGGGATAGAATTTCACACCTTAAGGACCTTGAGCTTCATGTTCCCGTAGACGAGACCCAAGCCAAAAGCCGAAGCACGAGCCACCTGATCATCCAAGCAAAAGACTCGTTGAATCACACAAACTCTTTACAAAGACAATAAAAAAAAACGAATCTGTGCTACAGATCGAGAATCGGGTTAGAGAGATGAATTACCAGAGCAAGAGAGCTGGTGCCGGAGTAAAGTCCTGGAGGTAGCGTCATTATCAAATCACCTGTTGGTCTCTCGGAGTCGTCTTCTGAGAAAGAAAACCCTAAAATCCCAAATCAATCGAAGCTTCCGAAATCTCAAAATTCGCGATTCGTGATGGTTGAATTGTTCGCTCCTTTTTTGTATAAGCTGATTATTGGGCTTTAAATGGGCCTAAACTAAGACCTCTTGTATTCTCGTACTAATAAGAATGACTTACGGAGGAGATACTAAAATATCCAAATTTACAGTTTTTATACAAACAAAAGATATCCACAATTATTGATATTTTATTGATATAATGATTTAATTTTCTCAATGATTAATATCTTTTCTAAAATTTTGGGATATCTTTTGGGTCCACTTTGCATGGGGTCATATCCAAATAAATAGTATCCTATTATCACTACGATTCATATTTATTATTTCATTATGATATATTGGTTTGGTCTTTTTTTTCGGCTTTTGTGTTTCTGATATTATTTTCACATTTAATATGAAAAAATGAAAATTCGGATTCAAAGCCGAAGGCAGAAAAGGACATGAAACAACCAACATTTATTTTTCTCATATAGTAATCGACATGTCAACGTGTTGTTTTTATCACAGCCACATTATCATTATGTAACTCAATCTTTCATACTTCTTGCGTAGTTAAAAAAAGAAAAAAAAATGACCGCAATATATAGTTTCTAGTTTTAGTGGTTACTGGTTAGTGCATTGATTTTGGTTTACTTTGTAGAAGTGGTAACGTACTAAAACTATCAACTATGTGTTCAAGATAGATATCTTGAATCCGTCGGACAGATGATATCTAGTAATCGTGTTCGTCAGAGAACATTAAATATTTTGGATCTTAACGAATTAAAAAGAAGCGAGTTGGTCACTCAAGGGTGAACAAAAATCTGTCTTCAAGTTGTCAAGACCGAAGACCAATGCTTTGCCACAGCCAATTCATGGTGAAAGACGACGTCCGTGAAATGATGTGATCATGTTTTTTCTCAATCTACACTACCCTCAAGTGTACCGTGTACGTACGGTACAATCACTGAGTTGCAGTAGTAAATATAGGATCAATTTCACAAGGAACACTTTGAATCTCTAGAAATAGAACCAGCTAAGACTAAACAAGTTTTGTTGGATTTTTGTTTTTTTTTGGTACCATTAAGCACAAAACTAAGTAAACAAATAGCAAGCAAAACAATAATATTAGCGATAAACGATTTAGCTATATTAAAAACTAATTACATTGGGATTAAAGTATTTTGCATGGAACAATTTTGATCTCGAGGCCTAGAATTTATGAACTATAAACTATCTTTAAATTCAAGAAATTAAACAAACATATATTTCATGTTTGTCTTTTTTTTTCTACTACGTCCTTTTGCTTGGAAAATATTTGGTCCAAATAGCATAATATAGTACTAGTGAAACAGTAACTCAATGAAAAAAGAAAGCAAAAATTGGATTAGTCTAAAAATTGTCTAATCAGAGTTTAAGCACAAAAACTAGAAACTAAAAAAGAATCAAAAACATTCCCAACAAATATCAACCCTTGATTCAGAACATCGGTGGTGAATCCGACGGTGACGGATCCACAAAGTTAAAAATACTGTCCAAGTAGTTCTTGTTGTCCTCATAGTAGTTGCACTCACCACCACTACTCTCGCCGGCCGTCTCGTTTTTCTCTCCGGAGAAACTCCGGTCGATCGAATCACCGCCGAGCAAGAGACCCGTGAACCCTTCTTCGATTCCTTCCCCCATCTGCGTAGTTTCGAACTCGTGCATCGTTGAGTTGATCCAATCGTTTTGATCAGGTTCTTTCATCAGACTTAGACCAGTTGATGATCCGACAAACTCTATCTTCGCCGGGATTGATTCCTTCATCTCAGAGAATGACACTGTAGATGTCGGAGATTCAAGTTGTTGTTGATCTGCATTGTCTTAAAGAAAATCAAACAAAGTTCCAAAGTTACAATTTTTGTAGAGATTTAGTGTGTGTTTTTGGTTTACCTTCGTTTGGTTTTGTTGTCCAATTGGGTAGCAATGACTTGTGAGTAAATCCATGATGGTGATGATGATGATGAGATGATGTTTTGGTTTGGTATTGTTGTAAATGAAGAAGCTTTGATTCTCTAGCTAGCCTTGCTTCAGCTTCAAGCCTTGCACTTTCCCATTGAGCAGTGTGGCTAAGTATAGCTGCGTTCTTGGATAGACCAAGAGAAGATAAAGGAGTCTCGTTTTTGGGTTTATGAGTCACTGGATCAATCCCCATTTTCACTAAACGTTTCTTTAAATGAGTGTTCCAATAGTTCTTGATCTCGTTGTCTGTTCTCTTTGGCAAATGAGTAGCAATCGCTGACCATCTATATATAAAAAAAGAATCAGAAAGGCGAAAACCAAAACGAAAATATTTGTGTTTGTTGCAAGACTAGACCTGTTTCCTAACAGAGCATGGAGTTGGATAATGGTTTGTTCTTCTTGTAAGTTGAATTTGCCTCTTTTGATGTCAGGTCTTAGGTAGTTAGTCCATCTGAGTCTGCAACTTTTTCCACATCGATGAAGACCTGAGAATTATAAGCAAGATAGATGAAGAGAAAGTTTTGAATATAGAGCTAGCAGAAAATGTGGAAAGATAGATGATAAAGATCTCACTAACCAGCTTTCTCAGGCAATGAACGCCAACTTCCATGACCATGTTCTTCAATATAAGCTAAAAGTTTCTGATCCTCTTCTGGTGTCCAAGGTCCTTTCTTCAAACCCAATTTGTCACAACATGGTGATCTACCCATTTTTTTAGAGAACAAAGAAGAAGAACCAAAACTCTAATCTTATTAGTAGAAGAAGAAGAAGAAGAAGAAGGTAAGAGATATCTTATATATTCATGTCATGATCATGCACAAAAGTTGGCTACAGTTGTGGAAATGTTACAAGTGAAGCATATCTCAGTGAAGAAGGTTGATATATAGAAGAGAGAGAAAGACACACACAACAAATGAATCCCTTTTTTCCCGGCTCACTCACATGGATGAGCATTTATTAACAAATGGGGTCTATAGAAGTTATTACCTTTGTGGCTCAAAGACCTGGAACAAGTCCCCCCTTAAATAACTCACACAGAGATAAAAGCGGTGATCTTTTATTACTAGCCACTGTTACTTTTCCATATCACAAGATTAAAGCGGTTATTTCTTGTGCTAAAAGTAAATTCAGGTCACTATCTATTCTAATAGGCTTAGAGCATGATTAACGGCAACATCTTAGAGATATCTTAGTATTAAAGTTGATTAAATAAAATCAAACCAACATCTTAAAACTAAGATTTGTATCTAAGTTAAGATGTTTTTCTTAACTTAAGATGTTGCAAGGTGTCACATTGTGATTGGTTAAAAGTGATATGTTTTGATACGTATTGGTGATATGTTTTGATACGTATAAATTTTATACGTATAAATTTTATTTTTATATTGGTGATATGTTTTGATACGTATAAATTTTATTTTTAGATATGTTTTGTCAATTGGTGATATGTTTTAATACGTATAAATTTTATTGGTCAATTGGTGATATGTTTTGATACGTATAAATTTTATTTTTATATTAATATTTTTTTTCTACGTCTTCTCTGTTTGATAAAAGTGATATGTTGATACGTATAAATTTTATTTTTATATTAATATTTTTTTTTTAAGAACCACATGTTAAGAACCTACCATTAATCACACAAAAATCTTAACCCAAAAATACTATCTCTTACCTATCACTTTTATAAATATATTACTTAAATATTCCTAAGATTTATTTCTAAGATACTACCAATAATCATGCTCTTATAGCCCTCACTTTTATGATCTTGCAAGTTACAATAAGATCAAAATCTCAAACTTATTTTTACATGCATGTTCAGCTTCTAGCACTCTAATCTCTTATCATCGTTCTTCCGAATCGAACTTATGATAAAAAAATATATATATATATATATGAGAAAATAACATACTAATAATTTCATCAATCTATTTTTATACAATGATTCAAAATAAGAAAAGATACCTTTGGTTTGTTAGCTAGCTTCAAGTTACTACGTAGTTTAAGGCTTTAAACGTCCACATTGTTTTTCTCTCTTTGTATAATGCTATAACTAGTTATCTTTATTAAGTTACACTACATCATTATCAAAATCGCGCGTATAAGTTGATTTCTTTTTCTGTTTTGAGATTTTCTTTTGTCTCATCAACCTTTACTAAAAAGAGTAGATAGTAAATGCTGTGAAATGGCGGTGACTAAGAGGAAACTGACACTACAATAGTAAATCAATGAGACAGAGAGCATAAAGTAGGAGATCAAAACTTAGTGGACGCAAGTAAATTAAGTATATGCATGGACTTTCTTCTTTCTTCACTTTTTTCAAAATGGTAAAATTCAAACCTGTGTAAGCAAGCGATTAGAATCTAGAAACATTAAGACTACAACAAAGTTCACACGCAACTCTATATTAGGTATGCTCTAGGCACCAGATAAACCCTTTAGCATATACAATAATAGTCAAGCTTCCAAGAAAATGAGGGTTTTAGGTTTGAATAAGTTGCGTGTATATATATATCTCTTATGCGGCACATGGAACTGCACTTAAGTAAAGAGTTCGAAAAACTCTCTAACCTTAAACTTTGTTTAGGAAGCATTTTGTAGTTGTAGAGAAAGTCACTTGGTTGCTACATTGTTCTTGATGTCAAGTCTAAGAGTATCTACATCTTAAAATTGATTATAAAAAATCTAGACATTCTCTGAGAACAATGAGCTTATATATACTCAGTCACCAGAACTCAAATCTACTTGGATTGATGATGTTTAAATAATTGGTACGGAAACCGGTTTAGCTCATCTTATGATCTTATATGGTTGTGGTACCTTGCAGGTGTACAAATGTTATCATCAAGGTAAATTATCCTGCCAAGAAAGGTAGATGATTTATGAAGGCAAACGGTGACATTAAAGAGATTTTACAAGACCAAACTAGGGAAAGTAGCTAAATGTGTTCCATGAAGGCAAAAGATGGATTTATTGAGGTGGGCTCCAAGCTTGTGGGGTAAGTAAGAAGTATCTTCATCGAATCAGAGAACGATAAGACAAAATCATAAAGAATTGTACAAATAAACACAAAAAGAAATCAGTTTTTAATAAAATGAATAAATGTGAATATGAAAGTTGAAGAAGAAGAGAGAGACTAAGAGAGCTCATGGATCAAAGAAAGAAAATCATATTGGCTGCAAATGATGTAAAGGACAATGGGGACAAACCTCTTTAAATGTCTTGCTGATACCATATTGCCAGCTCCTACACTCTGTATGGTCCTTACATACTTCAATTTAGCCTTCATAAATGACGCCACTTGTCGAGATTCTATCGATCCACGAATCCGATAAAAATACTTCCCACATTTGATGCTACAAATCTCCTGCATAAGTGTACTTGATCAGACATTGCAAAAAGCAAGAAGTCACACTTATGAAATCAAAAACACCGAGCCTAAATCCATGCCATGTGAGAAGTAGCATGCTCAATATGCAACATTCAGACTGAAAAGATTTAACATTTGTAGTTTGGTTCGGTAGTTACTGAAGTTGTTTCAACTGGTACGTACATAAGAAATGTTTTGTATCAATAAACTATCATATAATACAAAACTTGGATATAAACAAGGATCACTATTGACTTAATTTCAGAAAAAGACATTAGATTAGCCAAGTCTCTATTTGCTACCTTTTGAGAGTTTATGGATTAACTTGACAAACAATAGCAATTAAGGCGCTGAAAACAAGTCTTTCATTACACCTTAAACAACTCTTTCAGTGGAAAAGAATCTGATAACAAATTTGCTAAAGCTGAAATCAATGATAACTATATACATAACTCCCAAATATTTCAAAATTTGATCTTTATGAAAAAAAAATCAGGTTTATTCAAACATAATCCAATCCAAAAGATATGACAAGTAATCAATCATCCAACTACAAGTCAACAAAGAAAACAAAAAGGCCAAACAAACATAAAAAAACGTGTTAACCATAAAAGGCAAAACATATGCATTACTTGTGAGTTAATTCATAATTGGCAACACACAACCAACAAAGAAAATCTCAATTAATTAAGCAAAGAAGTAACAATAGTAAACTTAGTACAACTATACAACATGAGTCAAATTGTCAAAGGACCGACTAACTTAATAAAATAATGACTAGTGACGGATCAATTCCTCGCAAAGTCACCTTCAAAAGGAGAGTACATAAATTATTGAGGACGACCAAGAAAGAAGAAACCCACCACACCAACAAGAGCAGCAGCTACTGTACGAGATTTAACTCACCTCACATTGCTCTCCCCAGTTCTCTGTTTACTTGTGACATACGAAACATGAAATTGGTCTTCTCTGTTTAGATGTTTATGGATCTCAAATTAAAAATCTTTTGTTACTCAAAAGAGGTGGAGTATTGTAATTTCCTATCTTCTGTTATTTGGAATGGAAACTTATCGAGTAAAATATTGCAATTGCATCTATCATCTATGTCACTAATGGTGGGTTTAGAAATGTTTTTTTTTTTTGTTAAGAACAAAAACAACTATATGAAGACTTCAAATGTTTTCACAACACATCACACAAAGAATGCGTATATTGATTCTGGCCTTAATTTTAGTAACATGCTACCAATAAAACCCCTAATTCTCTATCATTTCTGTGTGTTTACAAAGGATCACAATAAAGACATGCATGATATATGATGGGGTTACACAGTAACTTGTTTTTTGTTTGTAAGAAAGTTTATATATATTTATATAGGTATCTTTTATCTTTTAGATATATACATATCACCTCTAACAAAAATCTACATCGAATAATCAAAACAATGAATCGTCTTTTGTGCTTTTTGTTGGTTATGGTATTATATGTTGGGTTGGGTAATGCGCAGTTTGGAAAGAAAAACTCTCTACATTTCAAGAATTCTCTTAGTCCAGGAAAAGATCTCTCGATTTATTGTACTTTTAACAAAGAATCTCTAGGCAACGTTGATTTGAACCATGGAGAAACTTACGTTTTTAGCTTTCATGGTAAATTTGATTTCAAAAACAAAATTGATTGTAACTTTCGGAAGGAATCTTTTTATGCAAAGATTAGGGCATTTGAGAGTGGCACTGGCGCATTTGATCATGGTAAGAAAAACTTTTGGGATGCTAGAGAAGACGGGATTTACTTCACGCATGGTAAAAAAGCACCAAAGTTAGAGTATACATGGATCGCAAACTAAAGATCTTTTGTTACTCAAATAAGATGGAGTTTGTTTTATCTTTATTTTCATTGTAATTTTTTTTTTTTTCATTGTAATTTCCTATCTTCTTTTATTGTAATGGATTTATTATCTATGAGACTATTCATGGGTTCAGAAATGTTTTGTTAATGAACTTCATGATCAACAAAAATATATATTCGGTTACTTACATTAATTGATTTTTTGGTACCAGTTCGGTTTTACTAAACCGGAAATCACTTATGAATACCGAAAGCCCATAATTAACCAAATGGGAGATGAAAACGCGATGATCAGGAGACAAACGAACGACCGAACCACCAATCGCCGTCGTCCCAAACTATGGCACAACTGCAAAAATTTCCGAACTTTGAAGCAAATTCACGCTTTTATGGTTGTGAATGGTCTCATGTCTAATCTTTCTGTTGTTGGTGAGCTGATTTACTCAGCTTCTTTGTCGGTTCCGGGTGCGCTTAAGTATGCCCACAAGTTGTTCGACGAAATTCCTAAACTAGACGTATCTATTTGTAACCATGTGTTGCGCGGCTCTGCTCAGAGCTTGAAACCTGAAAAAACGGTTTCTTTGTATACTGAGATGGAGAAACGAGGTGTGTCGCCTGATAGGTATACGTTTACGTTTGTTCTCAAGGCGTGTTCGAAGCTTGAGTGGAGAAGTAATGGTTTTGCGATTCATGGGAAAGTTGTGAGACATGGGTTTGTGTTGAATGATTATGTTAAGAATGCTTTGATCCTTTTTCATGCTAATTGTGGAGATTTGGGAATTGCAAGCGAGCTTTTCGATGATTCTGCGAAAGCTCATAAGGTTGCTTGGTCTTCTATGACTTCTGGGTATGCTAAGAGAGGGAAGATAGATGAGGCGATGCAGCTTTTCGATGAAATGCCTGACAAAGATCAGGTAGCTTGGAATGTGATGATTACTGGTTGTTTGAAATGTAGGGAGATGGATTCAGCAAGAGAGCTCTTTGATAGGTTTACAGAGAAAGATGTTGTGACTTGGAATGCAATGATCTCTGGATATGTAAATTGCGGGTACCCTAAAGAGGCGCTAGGTATATTCAAGGAGATGAGGGATGCTGGTGAACACCCAGATGTTGTGACGATACTCAGTTTGTTATCTGCTTGTGCAGTTTTGGGAGATTTGGAAACTGGGAAGAGACTTCATATCTACATCTTGGAAACGGCTTCGGTTTCGAGCTCCATATATGTGGGCACTCCTATTTGGAATGCTCTAATTGACATGTATGCAAAGTGTGGAAGCATAGATAGAGCAATTGAAGTGTTCAGAGGAATGAAAGATCGGGGCTTGTCAACTTGGAATACTTTGATAGTTGGTTTGGCTTTGCATCATGCAGAGGGATCAATTGAAATGTTTGAAGAAATGCAAAGGTTGAAAGTCTGGCCAAATGAGGTGACTTTCATTGGAGTTATATTAGCTTGCAGCCACTCGGGGAGAGTTGATGAAGGGCGTAAATATTTTAGCCTTATGAGGGATATTTATAATATTGAACCAAACATAAAGCATTATGGTTGTATGGTAGACATGTTGGGACGAGCAGGGCTCTTAGAGGAAGCATTCATGTTTGTGGAGTCGATGAAGATCGAGCCTAACGCCATTGTATGGCGAACCCTTTTAGGTGCTTGTAAAATTTATGGGAATGTCGAGTTAGGGAAGTATGCAAATGAGAAACTGCTCAGTATGAGAAAGGACGAGAGTGGCGATTATGTGTTACTCTCCAACATATATGCTTCCACAGGTCAGTGGGATGGGGTGCAGAAAGTAAGGAAGATGTTTGATGATACAAGAGTGAAAAAACCGACTGGAATTAGCTTGATCGGGGAAGATGATGACAAATTGATGATGAGATATTTACTCTCGCCAGAACCCGAGTCAAAATCAAGAAAACGGATCAGTTAGGTAAAAAAAAACAACGCTTCATTGGGGAACTATGGACAGTAAGATTAGATTGGATAACTCAATGCAAACATGATAAATTTGATAGATTCTTTCCTTTTTTGTTCTCTTGAGTTTTTTGAGTTCTCAACTTAGAACTCTGAGCACCACATTTTATAGGAAGTTTCGACATCGATGTTTACGCTCTAACTTCGAGATGATCCTTGGCAGAATCATTGTGTAACATATAGGTAACCTGTTAATGTTATAAACCTAGCATTTTCCTGTCATCTATATCTGTATGTTGATTTCATGATTCTGAAGCATAGATGATAGAACACCGAAAAGGAGAGAGAGTACATAAGAGATTGTGGTAACAGATGGTCAAACACACAATTTTTGACAGAAAAACCCGTTACATAAATCACACACACAAAATATCAATGGAGATGAGAAAAAAAAAAACACAAATGCAGAGGACAGACGACTAAAAGCTCAAGTTAACATTTTTACAAACCAAACCAATTTCTTAAAGCAGTGAAAAGAAAACTCATATATCAGGCAGGCTAAGACCAGATCTTCAATGGCGTCGGGAAAGAGCAATGGCTGATAGGAGAATGAGAAGAATGAAGAGGAAAACGGCAATGAAAGATCCAATCAAAGAACCGGAGATACGCTCACAGAAGGAATTGAACTGTTGACAAATAGCAAACCAGTTTGTTTTATTGTTCCCATTGTGTGCCAAGTAGACAATGGCTGCTGCTGAAGAAGCTCCAGCAGCTAGAAGACCCAACATTGCCTAACAGATAAAGAGGAATCAATCGTAAGCAGTAATACCAGACTATAAAATAAACAGGACAAGTTTTAATTTGCTGATGACTTACCACATCAAGGACGATAAGGAGAATTCTAGTGTTCTGAGTCTTTCTCTTGACGATGTGTACAAAGGCCAAAGTTAGAGACAAGATAAGGTAACCACTAACAACAGCATTTGCAACCACAAAGAACCTGATTGATCAAACAAAGGTAAGGCAAAAACTCTTCAAGAATTAATCCAGGTTATTCCCTGATACTGAAAACATGATAAAGAAAATCTAAAAGAATCAAAACACATACGTTAAGGCTGGAAGATCGTTGTATTCGGCTTGGAACCGTATAAATTGAGTAAAGAAAGGCAGAGTTTCATGTGTGGTTCCCATGAGGATTGCACTACCTATAGTGTTGAAGAATGCAACAATTCTGAGGATAAACTCGAGAATCGCAATCCTTCTGCTCATCAGACCGCTCTTTTGGATACCTTTGCTTGTTTCCACGATTTCAGCCTGGCCAGTCTTCATTTTCTCTCTTTACTCTTTAAGGTTTTCTAGGTTTCTTGGGAAGGGAGTGAGGGTTGGCTAGGTAAGAAGAAGATGTTGTGAGAGTTTGATGAGGGTTAAGAGGAATGAGTGAGAGTGTATAAATAGTGCATGCTTTGGGACATATAGTGGTTAAGATAAGGTCCTTATAGCTATTGTACTTGCTAAAGGTATCCCCTTTTAAGTAATATAATTCCATAAACCTAGAATAAAGAATATTCTTAATGAATCTTTACATATATTATACTTCATGATGCACCAAACCTCCAAACTTTTCAAATTTGGAAACATAAACTCTGTCCAGATTTGTATACAAATCTTTAGCTGGAACATGTGGAGTAGTTACGTTGCAAGTTATATGATAAGTTATAATAATGGAGTTAGTTATGTTCACAGATGATTAACAAACCCACTTAGCTTGTTCTTTTAAAATTACTTATCTAAATAGGAAATCTCTAGATAGTTGGAAATTTGAATTAAAGCTCCCAAGTGATTGGAGATGTTGAACTCAAATATGTCCTCTGTGTCAAACACATAGTCTACTTAAGTTATTAATGAAATAAAAACTTAGTTATTATTTATCTACCAAATCAACAAATATCAAACTAAAGCAGGACCACCTAAACCAAATGATAATATTGAAATATTTTACAAAAGTGTGTACGCTTTTTGAATTCGAAGTTATGACTTCTGCTTTTGAGTTTGCTTATGTGTTTCCATGCACGATATGTTGATTGTTCAAAACTTCAAATTTATTTGCTTATTCAAAACATTGATATTTGTTTTCTTTCGCAACACAAACTTCACTCATTATGAGTTTGAGATATAGCAACAAAAAAAAAAAAAAAAAAATTGAAAACATCTCACAGTGTCTATTTATAAGATTTTATAATTTGTCTATTTTCACTTTATATGACGGAAATTTAAACAAGTGAGTAAATTTGGAGATAAAAATGATAATATTTGGTCAAAATAACGCAAAAGTTGACAAAGACAAAAGTCAAATAGACACTCTGGCTCTCGTAGGGCGTTGTTCCACGTTGACGTTGTGCGTCACAATCGTAAAATTACATTAAACAACAAAAAATTTCTTATATTTCTAAATTAGCCCCAAACTTCAAAAAAAGCGAGTCATCACTTCCAAGTAAACCCATTCCCAGAGAGAAGCCTGGATAAGAATCCTTCACCAACTGTTGTTGTCTTCTTTTCTTTACAAGAGCTCATGTTACTAATCAAAGACCAATGAGTCTCAAAATCAACTTCATAGCCACACTTTTGCATCATTTCCATCATCTCTGAAGCTTTCAGAGTATTGTTCTCTACTCGAAACCGATCAATCACAGTCTTAAACATCTCTTGACTCGGTGTTTCGCCTAACCCAGCCATTGATTTGATAAGTCTTTCTGATTCCTCAACTTGACATGCCTCACAGTACTTAAGAACAAGACCACTCCATGTACTTCTGCTTGGACTTAGACCTAACTCCACCATTTCTGTATGAAAGTCCATAGCTTTATCCAATTGACTGCATCTCAGCAAGCCATTGATGACTATATCATAGCTTGAAGAATCCGGAATGCTATGGTTTTTTAACATTGTGTTCAAGAGATGAACCGCAATGTCAAGATTCCCGCGATCAGATAGTTTCTTGATTATATTATCGTAGTTGGGAGCCTTCATGACATTGCGTGTCACACGGGTCAGAAAGTCTTCAGCTTTTGGAATTTCGCCTTTCGAAATTAGGGATTCAACGATTTTGGTTTGGACAACTGAAGAACCCAGAGTCCAGCCTTTTGATTCCATTACCTGACATAAGTCAAGAGCTTTCTTCACATCTCCATTATCACACAGAGAGCTTGTAACCGCTCTTAAGCTTCGATTATTCGGTTTCATCCCCTTGGAGATCATAGCTGAGAGATATCGCAGAGAACTCGAATAATCTCCACACGAAGAGTATCCGTGAACGAGAAAGTTAAACGTGGTTTCATCAGGCAACAATCCTCTTCCCTGCATTTCGAGCAAGACTTTATTAACCTCCAAGTGATTCTTAGCCCTAAACATATAGAAAATCAGCATATTATAGATGATTACGCCACCAGGATTGCTTTCTCCTAACAACAGAAACTCCTTCAGACTAATTGCAGAGAGAAACTGAGGCTCTAAACACATTTTTCGAACATATTCTCTGTAACTCTTAACCGAACATATAATGTTCTTCCTCACCATGAGTCCTAGTACTTCCTCAACTTTCATCCAGTTGTTACCTTTACAATAACCTTGAAACATCAGATTGTAGATTTTGTTATACGGTAAAAGCCCGTTTGATAACATTATACGTAACTGATTTTCTGCATCGAGCATTTTTCCAGCTAAGCATAGTCCTTTTATCAAAGCATAGTGTACATAAGATGAATCTGATTGCTTTGCTAAAGTAAATGCTGTTCCTGCTTTGTTAGCTCTACAAAGCCGAGGAATCAACATCAAACAACTACCCAAGCTTGGAATGTGTTTCTTGTCTAGCATTTCAACGAGTATAGCAAATGCAGCTGAATCCTTCTTCTCTGTGCAGAGTCCTTTGATAAGATGATTGTAAACCTCTTGTTCCACAATGTAACCCTCTCCTTCAAGCCTTTTAACAACAGAATGAGCGATACAAGAAAACCCAAGAACTGTGAGCTTCTCGACCAAAATCCTACACGCTTCTGACTGAGATAGAGGATAAGATATGAATACACGCTCAAAGAGTTGAACCGCTTCCTCCACCAGTCCTTTCCGGACAAGACATTCCAACAGATCTCCGCAGTCGTTCAAATCAGGTAACCAGTTATCACTCTGGGAAGCACCCCAGACATGCAGAAGATCATTGAGGGTTTCTTTCTTACAGAAACAACTTATCAAAGATGTGTAAGTTACTTTATCAATAGGATGATGCATTTGAACCATTCTATGGAAAATGAGTTTGCTATGGCGGCTAAATCCCTTCTTGCAATATTCTTGGACAAGAAAATTAAGGGTTTCTTCATCTAACTGATTAGCCAGCTTTGGCCATTTTTCCAATAGGCTAACACTTACTCTGAGATGGGCACGCGATGCACAGAGACTCCTCATTAAAACAGCAAAACTCCGACGCGATAGTTTTTGACCCCATCGAGCCATTTCATCAAGAAGCCGCAATGCTGTTTGTAAATCACCGTCCTTACATGCTCTCACGATAAGCGAATTAAATTCCGGTAGCACAGACCTGTCAAGTACCATATTCACCCTCTGCTCGTAAGCATCCAAATCAGTGTGCAAGTATAGCCCATTCCCAAGATCATCGAAGAACTCAGCTTTGGAAAATGTGGAATCATTGTCCCTTTTCAATCTAACAGCTAAGGGATCAAATCCTACCAAACTAAAAGCTTCTGAAAGCGGATCTTCAACTTTAGATGCTTCGATTAACCCATAACCAAACATCTTGTTAACAATCATCTTCGCTTCTTCAAACCGTCTAGCTTTGCAGTATCCAGTTACCATTATCTTAAACGTAGACAAGCTGAGCAGCATTCGATTTTCCTTCATCTCATCCAGAATACAATGGGTATGTTGCCACAATCCTTTTCTAAAAAGCCCACTTAGGATAGCATTATAACTACACACATCGGGTTTAAAACCCTTTGACGTAATCTCAGATAAATAAAGAACCGCTCTTTTGATATCTCCTTCATAACAACACCAACCAATCAAGATACCAAAGGTAACTTCATCGGGTTTAAAACCCAAGTGTTCGAGTTCCTCCATATATTCATAAGCTCTCTCTGAGCCAAACCTCCTGCAGAGAGAATGCACAATCCTATTGCCAACAAACACATCAGGTTCATATTTAACTTCACCAATGAAACTCAACAAATCCTCAAAGTCTTGCTTCTCACTGTATCCTATAGTGATCTTACTATATATTGAGCTATTCAGGTTACAACCTAAAGCCACAAGCTTTCTTGCCAGGACTCTAGCCTCCTGAACCCTCTGATCCAAGCAAAGCAACTCGATAACTTTCCCGATGCTACCTATGTTCACGTGATTTGATTCCTCCGTTGTCTCCACCCAATCCAAACAAATTCTATTTGCTGATTCTGTTCTGTGAAGCCTAACTAAATGATCAATTAGAATCTGATAACACGAAGTTAAAGGTACTAAACCCTTACGCCTCATCCAATCAAACAGCATAACTGCCTTCCTGGAATCGAAATCATCAACATATTTCCCGATCAAATCACAGAAAATCTTCTCCTTAACCATTGTGTCTCCATGTCTCTCCATCTCCATAAGCAAAAATTCAACTTCCTTAACCATTCCTTCCCTGATAAGCATCGATGCCATAATTTCACAAGCCTGAGGTAAATGCTTAAACCCTTGATATTGCCCACTAGCACATCTGAAAATCTCCCATAAAGCTTGAACCTTTCTACTCCCAATTCCACCTCTCTGAAGCTCAGATTCAAAACCCAGTAATAGTTCAACCACATTTTCGGGTTTCAAGCCAGGAAATCTTCTAAATCTACGGGTAATATTGGGAACCACATCGGACAAATCCAAAAGCAAGTCTTTTACAGAGGAACCAGTAAGGTCACGCTTCTCCTTCGACCTCGAAAGTAAATTAAACGAGGAAGATTCATAATTTCTTGGGATCGCTGAATCATTTCCCAAGGAAGAAGAGGACGAAGGCGCTGAGGAAAACGCGAAAGAGTAACGACATGAGAGAGAAGAAACCTTGTTAAGAAAACGAAGCCGAGAAGAGCTACTGATGGAGAGAAGATTAAGCATGCGATTGCAGAGTTTAATGGAACTCTATTTGCCTTCTTCTTTATTCATCTGCTACTGCATTCGAGCTCTCACTGAGAAGAAGGTGCGGGTGACGACGAACGAAGACGAAATTAAAAGATCGAAACAATTGAAAACGTCACCGTTTTTAGCATCTGGACATACTCACAAACAGGCCTAATGTTATAAAGCCTTTGAATTAAAATGTGGAAAGATAATAAAATAATTATACAAATATTATTTGATCCACATCATTTTACAAAAAAATTGTTTTCAGTATTTCTGAGTTCCAACAACTTGAAAGTTGAAACAAAATAATTTTCTGCTACCAATTTAGCATAGCAGAAATCAAGAGACTTCTTTGATATAGGCAGCAAAAACCGGGGAGGGTCAGTCATAGACACAAAAACGAACTGTCTTTCGGAGTGTTCACCGTGCAAACTTATGGCGAGATGGAGCTATCAATAATCAAAAGATTGGTTTCCAAAAACGACAATCTTCCAGAAATAGCAACCTGTCTTTTAACTGCTGGCAGAGAAGTATATGTGCAAAGAAACAACAAAGAGAGAAGAATAATTGTATATACCTTTCAAGTGGACCAAATGGGCACAACAGATTGATATGCCCAAGTGGTTGATTAACCTGAACAATGTCGACAAGAAGCAATAGATTCTCACTCATCTCTCTCCCTGCATAAGATCTTTTAAAACTCTGAGAGATTATAAGGTAATAGTTTGTGATACCAAAACCTGTCAGAGAGAGGCTTAAGCATGCTGTAAGCAAAACCAGTACATGAGAGCGTTTAAATTATATAATTCATACAAAACGGAACTACGCACAACCAAACTAAGGTTTTCTGAATCTAATCCAAGGAAAGACAAAGGTAAAGTGAAAGATAGACAGCATTACAGCCAAGGCCAACTGGATAAGGTTTAATGGGTAGGAACTTGGCAGTATTTTTGGTTACAAGCGGACATGGAAAGTTTTGAAAGAAACTTAAATATCTCATCCACATGTAATCAGTTCTCCTAGGTAGAGTTTGGTGGTTCAGCTTTGTCATCTTGTTTGGTGAAAAAGGCTTCAACTGTGGGCTGTGGGGTTGGCTTCAGGCTTCAGGATCTCACACTGTTTTAGTGGGACGGGGAAAAGGTCACAAAGGGAAAAAAGCAGTGAATCAGAATCTGACACCGGGACAGATCAGATCAGATTATCTCATGAACTTGGGGCATATAGGTAGGTATACTAAGTTTAAAAGGACTTAAACAAACAAATATTATAATCTAACCTTTTTAATCACCAACCAATAGCTTCTAGTAATCATAGTTTCTGCGTCGGTAGGTAGAAGAATGGCTTGATAACCTGATGACAAAACCCATGATCAGGATCAACCACCAGGAGTTGTTAGGTAAATGAAAAGCAAAAGTCTGTGCAGTATCTCGACATTAGAAACACTTGATAACCGAAGTCTGACAGGTAAATAATTTGTATAATGTCACAAATACATCAGGTAAGAAATAATCTCACCCAGAACTGCTACTGCGTCCAGATGCATAACCTCCATACACTCCATATGGAGTACTACTACTACCACCAACCTACAAAAACATGTCCGAGGAGTCATTAACTGAGAATTGATATGTTAAAAATAACACGTAAAGGAACCTTCTAGAAGACATACCGGCGCACCATATGGCGAGTACCCTTCAGCAGACAAGCCACTTGAGCCATAACCACCAGGATAAGGATTCCCGCGTTCAAGTCTTCTGCTATCTCTACTATCATAGTCCAATCTATCACCAGCATCTGGTGCAACAGGAACATAAGGCAAGACCGGCATAAGTGCAGAAACAGCACCTTCTCGGTCAAAAACATTGGCTCTTAATCTTGATGTAATTTGTATGAGAGCTTCCTTGGCAACGTCAAGTTCTCCAGAAATCTGAGCACCAAAATTGCTATTGCTGTTAACGCTCCACGTGAAGGACTTTAAGCGTGAGAGGAGAAACTGCAATGACAATTAGAGGGGTAGCACTAGGAATTTTACCTGAACCATCTCATCATCATCAGATGCAACTTTTGGAAGATTTTCCTTCCCGAGTATGCGGATGTTAGCTTTGGTCATTCTTCTCATCTCAGTTATGATCGCTCCTCCTTTACCAAGGATACAACCAATCCTAGAACTTGGCACAAGAAGACGAGTGGTGAATGAAACAAGTCCAGAATCTCTTTCCACCTTGTCACTGCATTTAGGTTGCAGCCGCATAACTGCTTCAATGGTTGGGGAATACGCATCCTCAAAAACCTAAAACAAATTAGACACTGTCAAGGAAGAAAAGCTGAAAAAACTATTCTTAACTAAAAGACAGGAGACCATTGAAAGAAAGTCAAACCTCTCTTGCTGATATGGTTATCAAACAATCGTTTCCTTCAGTTCTAGAGCTATCAACTTTAATGGTTGCTCTGGTTTCCTGTCGAAGCTGATTGATTAGAGCACCTCCTTTCCCTATAACACTTGCAATGTTTTCAACTGGGGAAACTAGCCGAATAAAGAACTCTGTTGCCGGTGGGTCATTTCTTGGAGGTTGGTATAAAGGGCGTGACCAATCTCCTCCATCACGTCCATAGGAACCCATCAGTGGTGCTATTCCTACAAGTCGAGGACCACCTGCATGGCTCATGAGTGAGCCAGAAGGATATCCGCCGGAAATTGCAGAAGAAAGTAGATTCTGACTACGTGAGGGATTTTCATGAAGGCGAGAGGCAATCTGATGCAGAGCCTTCTTAACAATGAGCACTTCTCCAGATATCTAGAAAGAAAGAGAGATGAAAATAAAAGGCTAAGTGAAGCATAAAAATGTTGAAAGAAGGTAAATGATGTCATAAGGAATTCGCCAATAGACAGGTTACACATAAGAAGATGCAATAAAAAGTAAAACACAGAACACAAAGCAACAGAGATTCCTTCCCAGATACCTGAATGAGCTCATCTGAATTCAAGGCACATAGAGGCATGTTTCTGTCCTTGATGATACGAATTTGAGCACCAGTTTCACTCCGAATGTTCTGAACAATTTGGCCACCTCTCCCAAGAATACATCCAATCTGATCTGAAGGCACAAGCAGCTTAGCAGTAACTTGATGCTCTCCTTCAGAACTATCTTCACTTTGCGCATCATCAGCAACTACTCTATCATGAATCCTGAACAAAGCATCCTGCGCAGGAGAAAGAACTTTCTCACCATCTCCAAAGGCATTGGTCTCATCACTAGGGCTGTAGATCGTAATCACACGTTCATCACATCCCGGAATTGCCTCCCCTATTCTAATTTTCGATCTAGTATCCATCCTCAATTGCTTGACAATCTCACCTCCTCTACCAATAACACTCCCAATCTTTTTAACCGGACACAGATATCGGAAAACAGTATCATCACGATCGATTACAAGTGAATCTCTATCATCACCACGATATCTTCTTTTACTTCCACCGTTATCATCGTAGTCAGACTGGGGACGAGAGTCACGAGGCCTCTTTCTATGGCTATCTCTATGATCCGGTGACATTGTAAAATCTGTAACTTCCAATCTAAAAATATAAATTAAACAATCAGAACTCCAAAGCTATAGCAATCTGATTACGTTTAACCAATCAAAGCAAAAATGTAGCAACTTTACAACGATTCAACTAAGCATAGATCTAAATCTAATCATAAATCAATCAATTTTCTCAGAAGATCCAGGAGACATATCAAATCAGAACTCTGGGAAGTCTAGTCTATCAAACGAACAAGCTATGCAACTATCGAGTAGCTACAGATGAGAACAACAATATAGGAACACGATTAGAGATTCCGATTTGACAATCTCAGAGACGTTTGGATTTGGGGAAGAAAAAGTACGAACCTTGATGATATCTCCAGACGAAATCGTTTCTTCGGATTTGGGGTAAATCAGTGTTTCTAGGGTTTGCGCCGAGTTTAATCGGTTGTTGTTCTCAATTTTACAATTATATTATGGTGGTGATTGGCTATAAATTACATATATAGAGTTATTTTTTAACATATCGTTCGATTTTCAAAATGTTTTTTGGTTATTTGGTTTAGAATGAATTCACATTAAATTAATCGTTATTTCTTATAAATATAAAAAAGCAAAAACACACATAATTATTTGAAGATATTCATTGTAACATCTACATCATATACTAAGTTATTAACAGAAACATTTATATTATTTGTGTTGTTTTTTTCGTTTAATTATATCATTTTTATTTGTATATAAATTGAATTATTTAATCAAATATCCTTGGTTTTCTTAAGAAATTTGTTCGGTTTGGATATAGAAAACAGTATTAAAACTCAAATCTGTTTTTTTTTATTTAGATTTTACATTTTTACTATCTTCTAACATTTGTGTCTACTAATAGATTCTTTACATCAATTTTAATAATATAAAATATTTTGGCGTTTATTTTGTGGAGGAATATGTTATATGACAAACAAAAATATGGAAATACATTTCTTTACTTTGAAATAGTGCCATATTTTTCCCCAAGTGCAAAACATAAAAAAGATTTTCAATAACAAAAGTCATTGTCCACAAATGATATCACACAAATATCGTTACAATTTGAACTACAGTAGTATTTTCCACAATTGAGATAGTAGAGCTTAACTTTTACATATTGGTATTATTGCAATATTATCAGTAGCCAAATCATTTTGTTTTCGAAAAAAAAAAAACTTAAAATGAAGTTATGAAAGTGGAGGAGACTGGGGAGGAGGAGAGGCGACGAAACCACTCCAATTGGTGTTAGACCCCACCGGCTCGTAATCCATCAGCTCCATCGTCTTCCTCACAACGCCTTCCTGTATTTTTCCATTTCTAATTTAATATTGCAATCCCATTAAACTTGAAATGAGCTAGGTAACGAATTGTGTTTAATCATCCTTTCAACAATTTATCGACCACAAAACCCAGTTGCAAAATATGCAGTTCAAAACCTTAAATCTCTTTGGACTTTTTTTTTTAATTTCTAATTACAATTTCCAAACATCTTGTGGTATTTTTGCAACGAAAATTTGTTTTGTTGCAAATTTGTTTACATTGTAAATGAAATGAAAAAATACACCCAGAAAATCGTGCGGAGTATTTTGCATGAGTATTAAGTTCAAATTTTTAAAAAATTTCAATATAAGTTCCTAAAAAGTTTTGTATCATTCTGTGATTAGAAGAAACTAATTAAGGAGAAATAGAGAACAAACAAGTACCTCCCTGGAAGGAAATAGCTCAGCAGTATTGTAAACTCCTGACAACTTTGCAGTTTTCAAGTTTCTCCCCATGGCTTAAAAATTCACAAACAAAAATCATTAGGCATAATTAAATTGAAGAAAATCCCAGTAAACATATAGGGCTTAAAACATAAACTCTTAAAAACATTTTGAACAGTGTGATTAAGTAGAAGATGATGGCAATTAGCTATTACCAGTGGAGAAGAAGATTAGTAGTATCAGAGAGGAAACAAAAAGAACTTTGAAGAAACAAGATTGACCCATTGTTGTCTCTTTGAAGTTCTAAAGATTTTATTTATATTAGACTTTATATTATTATTTTATTCAATAGATTTTGTTAGTTATTAATCATTTTTCTATTATAGTAATAAAACTTTAATAAAGAGAAAAGGGGACTTTAGTTTCAAGGCTTTCCACTTTTCCTGGAAACTGCTTCAGCTTCAGATCCAATGAAGAAATATGGTAATTAATTGACTAGAATACTCAATTCATTTCATCTATATAATTGAGTTATATATATTTTTTTTTTTTGGGCAAACAATTGAGTTATATTAAGAACTAGTAATAAAACTTAATTTTGGTTTAAATTGCCAGTTGATTATTGAGAAGCAAACTCGCACGTGTAACTCCAATGAGTCCACGTGATGTATGAACTGGAGTCGAGCTTCTCATGTCTGCCACTACCAAAGAGTATCACTATTTTTTGGGTAAATGCTATTTACCGCCTAAATGAATAGTCAAAGTTTCAGCGGAAACAAAAAAAATCTCAAAGATTTCATCAGATATAATTGTATGAATCTACCAGAAAAACTTTCTAAAAACACACAATTTTCCCTAATGAACTTTTTTAATCCAGAAAAACTAGGGATTACCGTGTTAATTTTTAATTGGGGACAAGGTTTGACTTACTTTAATAGAATATCATGTTGCCATCTTACTATTATAGCCGTCCATTAACATTTTAACACATAACAAGACAAATGAATCAATAATTTATGTTATTAATAATATAAAGTTAAGCCTGAAATAATGTTAAACGCATGTGATTGTGTGAGTTTTTATGAAAATCAGTGCCTCGCCAAGATAAGCAAATGAAAACGGATGATATAAGTCAACTTTAAGTCCAAACAAAAGACACTTAAAGACTTGCAAGTCTTAAGAATGTATCAAACTTTTGGGGCTAATATCTCAAACACTGCAGCAATTCTATTGGTTGACCTATGTACTTTGTGAACTAAATGGTCTCTCACTCAAACCTCTCATTTTTTACTTTTTCTAGTTTGAGCTGCCAAAAATGATGCTGATCATCCGTTCAGTGCAAACAAACAAAAATGTGTTTTTTTTTTCTTTCCCAACTACGTTTTAACTTGGTTTGGTCCGCTCCTTACAGAACTAGCCACTAGGTGTTAGCAAAATACTAGATGCAAAATTGGACTTGGGCTTTATTTAGAAGTTTGGGCTTTTTCTTGTGGCTACTTTGTCAGAAAAGAGCCGAAACTAAAATAAAATAATAATTAGATGAAGCCTAGAGAAAGAGAAGTCTAGTGAGTAGAGTAGTAGTGACCCACGAAATCAACAAAGTATCTCAAAATATTAATGTAAAGTAATTTATAATTTTAAAATGTACTTTAGTAGAGACATGGAGATACATACACCTATGCACGAACCATTAAAAGTTATAACGCGGCTCATAACATAATCTAAACGCGTGTGACTTCCTCTCTTCCTTCTTACACGACACGAGATCATCGAATTTGGACCGTAAATGAAAAAAAAACAGCTTCATAATCAAATCATCATCATCATGTTGACGAAGACGATCTAATTTTTCCTTTTACATATACAATTCCCAAACTCCAGATTTCTTCCTTTTTCGTCTTGTTTCATTTCTACGGTTTATGTTCTCTACTTTTAACCCTCGATTACGTTTCCGACTTCTCCACATCTCTTGATTCAGCTTCGATTAGATTTGAATTGGGAATTTGACAAAGTTTAAAGATTTTTCAATTGATGGATTGATCTGATTTCGAATTTTCATTACCCGTTTCGGGTTCAATTGATTTCGATCAGATTGAACCCAGTTGTTCTCTATCCAATCCAATCCAATCAGGTTCATTACAAATTCCTCTTAAACTCGATCTGATTTATAAAGTTTTGATCTTTTTAGTGTTTGATCGATATGGGTGAATGATTCTAGGGCTACTTCAAAAAAGGATTCGACTTTCTCTGAGATGGTATATTTCCAGAACTCAATCTCCGTCGTAGACCAATCTCCAATCATGGCTCAATCAGCAGATTTTCATCATCACTCAAAACAATCAAGAAGCAGCACCAACAGAAAGTCATCATCATCGTCATCATCATCAAGCTGTTCTTCAAGTTTCCAAGTCTGCTGTGACGGATCTAGATCAGCTGCTATCGATGTTTTGATCTTAATCGCTGTGATCACATCTTCCGGGTTCTTGATCTTCCCTTACATCAAATTCATCACTGTCAAATCTGTTGAAATCTTCTCAGAGCTCTCTTGTTTAGTCAAAGAAGAGATTTTGCGTAACCCTGATCCAATTGTGTATGGTTTAATAGCTTTGAGTATCTCGTGTACTGCGTTATCTGCTTGGATGATTGTTATACTCTTGTGTAGTCGTCATCGATGTGGGAAACCGAATTGCAAAGGGCTTAGGAAAGCTAATGCTGAGTTTGATATTCAGTTAGAGACTGAGGATTGTGTTAAGAGCTCTAATAGTGGGAAGAGTGTTAGTAAGAAGGGTTTGTTTGAGTTGCCTCGTGATCATCACCGTGAGTTAGAGGCCGAGTTGAAGAAGATGGCTCCACCGAATGGGAGAGCCGTGCTGGTTTTTCGGGCGAAATGTGGGTGTTCGGTTGGGAGATTAGAGGTTCCTGGACCTAAGAAGCAGCAACTGCAACAAAGGAAGGTCAAGAAGTGAAAAGGTTCAATCTTTTTGAGGTAAAGATGGGATCATTACAGGTTATTATTATGATAATGATGATGATGATGATTACTTTGATTAGCTTTATAAACAACCTTTTTTCTTTTGGGTTTAGTTATTTTCACAAGAACTTCTTACAGAAACTAATATATGTTATAAATCTCCATGTGTTTAAATAAAAGCTTTACAAGGATATTGCAAGAGAAAATGGTTAACAGTGAAGAATAAATGATTTTGTTTTTAAGTTCTTGAATGTGTTCTTTGGTTTCTTGATTCTGTTTTCTGGCTCTCATGGTCTTATGGTAGTGATCCAAACCCTTGTATATGCTCTGAATTCTGGCGTTTATGTGTTTCTGGTTTATGATCTGGTTGGGACTTTTAATCATACATGTTAGAAACTTTTGGGATCTTTACTTGATGGTTTTGAAATATTGTCCAATGTTTGTGTCATCATGTATATTAAATTCACAACTAATAAAGAAGTCATGATACTGAACTGATAAAAACAAAAATTTATTGAATTGTTATGTCTAGTGAGGACCGGTTACATAGTAACCCTCGTAGGCAGTTTTTTCCATGGGACCAGGCTCGAGTCTAAGGAGCAATGGGGCCACAGAGATTATTATGAAACTCTATTTGCCTTTTTAGCTTCCAAGTGTATGGTTATGGTAATCTCAAATCCAATCTATCTATATACAGTATATGTGTTTATGTTATAGATTTTTTGTTCCACCGTACGATCTCTGGATCATTCAAGAAGACAGTTATATATTCCAGAGAAGACAAAAGAAACTAGAAACCTCCTCTTTGTTTTAGTCATGACTCATCATCACCTTTTTTGTTTATATAACAATCTTGAACACACCCATCGAATAAAACACTACAACACCAAATCTTATTCTAAGAAATTAATAGCCTTTGACGCATAATCTCGAAGAAGAAGAAATACCTTGGCTTTGATGAAAATGGCATCATCATCATCAGCTTTGTCTCTCCCTCTCTCCAACATCCCAACCTGTAATAAGAAGTCCCAAGAATTTCAAAAACCGGCTCCTTTATCCAAATCCAGTCACACACATAAACCTAGTCTTAAAACCCAAACTTTACACCACACACTCACTAAGAGAAATTTACTGAGTTTGACTGCCTTGGGATTTACGTCATCTCTAGGAACTGTTCTTGCTCACCCCGCAAAAGCTGAACCAGAAGCTCCCATCGAAGCCACTTCCAATAGAATGTCGTACTCGAGATTCCTGCAGCATCTGAAAGAGAATGAAGTGAAGAAAGTTGACTTGATCGAGAACGGAACCGTTGCAATCGCAGAGATCTCTAATCCAGCATTAGGAAAGATCCAGAGGGTTAGGGTTAACCTTCCCGGTTTACCGGTCGATCTGGTGAGGGAGATGAAGGAGAAGAACGTTGATTTCGCTGCTCATCCCATGGATATGAACTGGGGAGCTTTGTTGCTCAACTTATTGGGGAATTTTGGGTTTCCTTTGATCTTACTTGGCTCTCTGCTTTTAACATCTTCTTCAAGAAAAACCCCTGGTGGACCCAACTTGCCTTTTGGTCTTGGAAGGTAAAAGCATTCATGATCAATTTTGAATATCAACCCAAGATTGATGTTTTTCATCTATGTTTTCTTGTAACAGAAGCAAAGCTAAGTTTCAGATGGAGCCTAACACAGGGATAACGTTCGAGGATGTAGCAGGAGTAGACGAAGCCAAGCAAGACTTCGAAGAGATCGTTGAGTTCTTGAAAACCCCAGAGAAATTCTCAGCCTTGGGGGCTAAAATCCCAAAAGGCGTCTTGTTGACTGGACCACCGGGAACCGGAAAGACTCTGTTGGCCAAGGCTATAGCTGGAGAAGCCGGTGTTCCGTTTTTCTCATTGTCCGGCTCGGAGTTCATAGAGATGTTTGTTGGTGTAGGAGCATCTAGGGTTAGAGACTTGTTCAACAAGGCAAAGGCTAACTCACCTTGTATAGTGTTCATTGATGAGATTGATGCTGTTGGAAGAATGAGAGGAACCGGTATAGGAGGAGGAAATGACGAACGTGAGCAGACGCTAAACCAGATTTTAACCGAAATGGATGGGTTTACGGGGAATACCGGAGTGATTGTAATCGCTGCAACGAACCGGCCGGAGATTCTAGACTCTGCTTTGCTCCGACCAGGAAGATTCGATAGGCAGGTTAGTATGTTGGTTAATCTATAAACCGAACAAATCGAACCAATTAGTGATTAACTGGCCCGGTTTGGTATAATCTAAACCTTGTTTTAACTCTTAAACAGGTTTCCGTTGGTTTACCGGATATAAGAGGAAGAGAGGAGATATTAAAAGTTCACAGCAAAAGCAAGAAACTCGACAAAGATGTGTCTTTGAGCGTGATTGCCATGAGAACTCCAGGTTTCAGTGGAGCTGACTTGGCGAATCTTATGAACGAAGCCGCAATTCTCGCCGGGAGAAGAGGAAAAGACAAGATTACCCTTATAGAGATTGACGATTCTATCGATCGGATTGTCGCCGGAATGGAAGGGGCGAAGATGGTCGACGGTAAAAGCAAAGCGATTGTAGCATATCATGAAGTAGGACACGCAATTTGTGCGTAAGTCCCGGTTCAATTTCAATATCTTTTGTCCGGTTTAGTCAGTTTAAATTGAAATGAACCTGTTTTGCTTGGGTTAGGACTTTGACAGAGGGTCACGATCCGGTTCAGAAAGTTACGTTGGTTCCCAGAGGTCAAGCACGTGGTCTCACGTGGTTTTTGCCGGGAGAAGATCCGACTTTGGTGTCTAAACAGCAATTGTTCGCTAGAATCGTCGGAGGACTCGGAGGCAGAGCGGCTGAAGATGTAATTTTTGGAGAACCGGAGATAACCACCGGCGCCGCCGGTGATCTCCAGCAAGTCACTGAGATAGCAAGACAGGTATAGTAATTAAAACCAAATTTTCTTAACCGGAAATAACCAGTGGACTTTCTAATTCTTATGTTGTTCAGATGGTGACGATGTTTGGTATGTCGGAGATTGGTCCGTGGGCATTAACCGACCCAGCGGTTAAGCAAAACGACGTCGTTCTACGTATGCTTGCGAGGAACTCCATGTCCGAAAAACTCGCGGAAGAAATTGATTCTTGCGTGAAGAAAATAATCAATGACGCTTACGAGGTCGCGAAGAAGCACGTGAGGAATAACAGAGAAGCCATAGACAAGCTTGTTGATGTTTTGTTGGAGAAAGAAACCTTAACAGGAGACGAGTTTCGAGCAATTCTGTCTGAGTATACTGATCAACCGTTAAATACGGATGATAGAGTTAGAATCAAAGACTTGATTAGTATCTAATACAAAGACCTAGATCAACTCATGTCTTAATTTAACGTATATACTTACATTTTTCTCATTACATAACTCCAAAAAGCTTCTTATCTGATGAAACATATTTGATTTTCCTAACTTTGAATTAAACCAAGTCACAACAAATTAAATAAAAAAAAATATTATGGTATTGATGGTACAAATATCTTCCTAAACAAATACTCCTCTATAAGCTAGATAGAGTACTTCACCTATTGGGATCTCAAAATCGGCCAAAAATGTCCTTGATCGCTTGGTAAGTGCCGGTTATCACAACCACAACACCAGTTAGAATGATTCCGATGAGCACCATTGTTTCGAATCGGAGTCTTTGATATTTCCCAGAGATCTTTAAGTAACACAAACATGGCAATATTACCGATGCGGATGCGCTCAAGAATGCTCCAACAAGACTCATAAGATCACCAAAAAACGGAAGAAGCAATGCCACGATCACATTGCTAGTAACCAACATCGTACTTAGTAAAAAACCGGAAGCTCTTTTGTTAGGCAAAAATCGGGAAAACCGGCTTCTCATTGCGTCAATTATAGGTGTAACCATGAGAGCAAACTTAGCAATTGGGTTCACCAATGTAGTCCATATCGCCACTTTTGAACTAAGCTTGTCAGTAGGAAGATTCAGTGTGATCTGTGATTCAACATTTGATCCATACATTAAGTACCCCAATATCGCCACTGATGCATATATGAATGTGCATATTGTGAAACATATAACCATAACCTGAAAATGTTATAAAAAAAAACATGCAAAATCATTAGTTTGAGTTTTGGTCTAGAATAACCTGATGATTAATTATGTTAAAAACTTACGTTTGAGAATTGGCGTTTGTTCTTCATGGAAGTGTATAGAGTTGGGAAAACTGGATGAGCGCAATAACAAAACGCGTATAAGCTCACGGAAGTAGCAATTCCATTAAGACGAAAGACCTCTGAGTCATTGTTCTTGAACCCTACTCCTTCAAAAGCTCCCACCGAAAAGATAGAAGCAAGAATAACCCCGGAAGCAAAGACACCACTTGCGGAAACATAAGAAAGAATCCTCATATTGTCTAACCAAACCGAGGGAAGAATAATGAGAGCCACCAGGACGATAAACATTTGCTTGCCTTGGAATTCAAGCCCCATGAAGTTGAATCCAACGTTTGAGAAGAGTTTGTTAAGGTTGTCACCTTCTAGGATCAAGAAACTAGTGGCGACTAGGTAAAGCTCAAGGTTCATGAAGATGGAGACGACGACACGTCCTGTGTTTCCAAAGGCTTTGTAGCCAATGTCCGGGTAAGATCTAAGAAGTGGATCCATTTCCATACATCTCTTAATGAGAATGGCAGAGTAGAAAGTTGTGATCGCTACGGTGAAAAGTATGATTAAACTTAGCCATCCTCCGGATGCTAAAGCATAAGGAACCGATAATATACCCACACCTAAGAAAAAAGAAGTTGATTACAAGAATGTTTGTTTAAAACGCATATAACGTTTTTTTGTTTTGTTTTTTGGTGTTAATTATTTACAAACATTCTTTTAGAAATATATGAAAACACAAACGCAATTTTAATTGGAAACACAAACGCAAAGAACAATCGTGGTCTAGATCGTTATCAAGATATGATTTGATTTGATTAAGTGGTTTTGTAGTCTTGTAGAAGAAGAAGAACACAAATTGAAAAGGGAAGACGTGTTGTTAATGTGTTAAGGTTTGTTCAGAGACACGTTGTATTTATATCTGAAAGATAATTGGAATTGTTGGTTTCTTTCTATTTAATTATATGCACTTTTTTGTTCGTATATATATGGTCATTTTTATATAATAATATGATCTAGTTTGGTCAGACGTGTTTCCAATATATAACTAGTTTTTTTAGTATAAACTAAGTATCTAGTTTGGTATATAAACAATTAAGTACAACGATAGTGGCCAGTTTGATAAACCCATTATTAGGCCATTACCACATTTAGCGAATAAATAATAACAATAGTCATTGGAAACTTTGCCGAATTGTTTATACATTAGTGTTAAATTCAGCTAAACGGAACCATCCTAACCTTGAAAGTCAGAACAAAAAATGATTTGGTTATTTAGCTCTATTGTTTATCAAAGACTATGAAACTGAATCTAGACGA